AACTCCAGAATTAAAAGAGGGGCAGCATTCCTTCTGAATACCTCAGCACACATTAAAGAGATCAGATGCCCTCAGGTTTTGTATGGGTAATGTTATGCTGGTTTCTGAGTCAGTCTAGCAAAAACATTTTAATTCTCCAGCTTGAACGGTTATTCTCATGTAAAAGGTGCTTATGCTATTGTAGCTTATTTCCATGCATTTTAGCAGCTTCTACAGGTGCAACTGTCACTTTCTAGAGAGGAGGTTGAAATGTTATATCCACCCTAGCAACAAAACTGTAGGAATACAGAATTGTGTGTAGATTAGTTTGAAAAGATGCCACAGCAACAGAACTGCTGAAAAAGCCATTTGCACTTCCTCTATTTGCTCAGTGGTAACAGACAGCAGGTAGCCAAAATTGGGGACCAAGGGAGAGGATGAAGAGATACCCAGCTAGCCTGTAATTGTTTTTCAAGTAAAGAGTTTTCATTGGACTGATAGAGGTTGCATTTTAACCAGTGGTATAATGGCAAAATTACCTCCTATTACCTATTTTTCAGACTGATTGATTTCAAATACTTTTGGAAAAAAAAAAAATCTAAGCTTTTTTGAAAATCTGCTCCTGCTGTGAGTACAGAGCTTTTCTGAAAATACTGGTCTTAATAACTCAGCATCCAAAAACCCTCTCTGTAAAATAGAGACAGTATTTCCCTTCTCTCACCCTTCTTTGAGCTTGCCTAGGATTCTCCCCAAATACATCTGTATATACTGTTGTCATCATGGGATAATGATTTCACTGTGGTCCAATCACTGCAGATTAGAACAGTAACTTTGAGCATAAACAGAGGAGAGAGGTATCATATAAAGTAACCCTGCATCTCTCAAGTGCCTGCTTGGATTTGTTTTATTGGGCACCACGGAGCCTGTGCATGCCCCATGGTTTGTTGGTATCAGCAAGAAACCTAATGGAAAGAAACTCCTACCTGTCTCTGTTGGGACTGGCAGCCAGCTGACAACCATGTAACTCGAAGAGCGAGAAGGTCAGGAAATGAAAGAGACATCATACACAGCCCAAAGAGACAGCTAAACTCCTGCACAGATTCCAGCAGTTTCACTGGGGCTTTAAATCACTAAAAGCTTCTGTCAGCAACTACATGTGATTTCTGCTGCACACCCCCGAGGACCAGAAAGCCCCAGGCTACTGACTCACAGGGAGGGAGCAGATGACAGTGCTATCTGGGGCAAGACTTGGCTTGGGGAGGGTGCCATCACAATTCCTTATTTTTCATTTCCAACAAATTTAGTGTGCGTGAAAGGTACTGGACTGACATCCCAGGAGAATAGCTGCCTTCTAATTAATTATAATTAATCATCCAGGCATTACTTAATGTTTGCATAGTGCTTTGAAGTGCCAAAGTACAATATAGCAGGTAGATATTATTAATTCAAAGAAACAGATATAGCCAAACCAGAGTAGGTTTGCTTGTGCGGCTTCCCACCAAAGAAACCACACCAATTCAGCTCCACAGGCAGCCCCTGCCTTGGCTACACCATGTCCTCCGAGACACTTGTGGGTACCTTGAACACTTTGTATGCCACAGGTCCAGGGGCTTGGCCCGCTGGGGAAGGAGAGGGATGGGTGAAAAGGGGAGAGGGTAGAGCAGGGCAGAGGACACCACTTTTCCCTTCTGAGTTTGGCCACCTCTCCACCTGTCCTTGTGTGAAGCCGCATCTCTAACGGCAAGAGGCACATCTCAGAATCCCTCCAAACCCATTCTGGGGTTCCCTACTGACCTAAGACAGACTGAAATGGGAGGAAGGAGGCCCTTGTACTCCCCCTCCACCCCTGCTCTCAGCCCTCCAGCCTGGCTGCTCTCTAATCCCAGCTGACAATCCCTCATGCCCTGAGAGCATCCAGGCCTGCGTCATCTTCCTGGACATTTGATTTTACCAGCTCGCCTTTCTCTGCCTTGACTGAGGACTGCCATTCAGCTGCCAGAAGAAACGGGGCCCAATGCTCCCTGTCACTGGGATCCTCCCCATGGGGGCCCTCTGGGTGCTCCCTCCCCACAGTCATGGCTATAAATTCTAGAGCTTAATTTTTCACTGCATGCATAGCAAACATTTCAGAGTGCTTACAAATCCCCCCCAAGCACCATCAAGTCAAACAAGTGACAGTAATGATCAGTGGCAGAATGACAAGACAGTTCATACCACTTGAACTTTTATAGTGGCACTTAAAAAGTCTCTGTTGTTCCCCTTTCACAGAACTGTGACTGCATTTACCCAAAAAACTACAAGCCTACACAGATGTTTGACTTTCTGAGAACCAGTGCTGGGTACCGAACTTCTGATAATATCCTAACTCTAAAAGAACAGAGTATCAATCCCACTGAGGGCTGATGCCATCAGAATAACAATAACAACAATCTGCATCCCATTCTGATCCGAGTGCCTCTTGCTGTGTCTCCACTCGTTCTCCTTCCTTCAACTCTCTCCCATACCCAGGATGGTATTGCAGCACCGCCCAGCATCTTTTGCACTGCAGCCTCTGCTGTGGGGTGAAGTCCTCTAGAATCAGGTCCTAGCTACTCTGGATGATTATATTACTGTGAGGGGAGATGAAGAGATACCTACTTCCTTACTCTCAAAGCTGCTGTCCTCAAGATCAAATAATATTGCAATACAATAGGTAGTGTGACCACAATTTTTTTTTTTAAATAATTACTGGTATGAAAGATTCAGATGATGAATGCAGTCACTACTGGAAACAAAGCAAATGGTAATATAGATATAATACCTTTTTGCTCCTTAAATCCCCCAAAACATGGTGTAAACTTAAGCTCAAGCCAGCAGATGTGACATATCTCAGCAAAACCCTGCGCTCCCACTGAAGTCAATAGGGGCTACAACTGGGGGTCTGAAGGACTTTGGACCCTTTGAAAGAAATTATTTCTCTCAGTGCTGTCATGCAGTCCATACTTTGCATGAAATATGGGTAGTTTTCAACAATGCATAAGAAATGGGGAATGAAGAACACCCAGTTGTATGTACCATGTGTGGAAGCAAGCAGAAGCTGATTGTGGTCAGGTAACCTAATATGCAGGCTAGTGACAGGGACTGTGTACCTTTAAGGAAAAAAAGCAATTGAGAATTCATTTCTGTGTCTCAACTCCTGTGGTTACCAGTAAGGAAACTGGTTTGTTCTGTATCATTTCCACAAATGACAGAATTTTTATCTTATTATTATTGTTCTAACATAATTTCTTTCCCTATCTTCTGCTGCTTTCTCCACCCTTTTCCCTCTGCAGAGGATCCTGTCCCTTCACAGCATGTCCACACCGACAGTCAATTCAGCATTCAGCATAACTGAGGGGGTGGAAGTCTCCACAGGGGTTGTGAAAAACGCTGCTGAAAGAAGAGAAATGGCTCTGTCAGGGGCAGAGCCTCCTGCTACTTGTTCTTGCTCCAGCTCTTCCACCCAGAAGTTTCCTTCTTGTATTTATGCTGAGTGCCAGATGAACTGCTTGTGTACATCTGCAGTAACTCAGAGGTCAGAAAAGGGAAGGAAAAGAACCGTGAAAACCAATCTTTAAAAAAAAAAATGTATTTTCTCCTCCCAAATTCACACTTAGAAAAATGCTCCAGTGCTGCACAGAGACCCCTGGCATAGTTTCAATGTTATTTCATTCTCTGCTGGGTATATTCATAATAGTGCCAGCTAGTATCTGTTTTGAGAGCAGTCTCTATGACCCAAGCACCTACTTAACATGAACTTTACTGAAGCCATCTCTATTCCACAGCAGTCTCTGGATAGACTTCATAATAATTTTCTGGCTTTGGGCTTGAAATGGTGGTATATTAGTGAAAAGTGCTATTTCATAACACCCCTCCCGCAGCTTATAAGTACTTTCTCAATGCCCAGGTGATAGTACAACTCTCAACTGGAACTTACTGAAAGCCTGGAAATTAAGGAACGCTTCATCAGATGAAGCTAAACTACCAGTTTTACTGACTAATAATACTGAAGACCATTCATTGTAACCTACGCAGCCGAGGCAAAAGCAATGGCTGACTCTGATCTGAAGGTACCTGTTATATGGCCTTCTCTCTACTGGATACTTCTCTAAAAGTTGTTGTTTGTTATCTACTCTACTCAGTCATTCCTTCCACCAGACAGGACTCTATTCTTTCACAAGCAGCTTTGCATCTCAGCATGTTTCTGGTGATAATTACTCCATTACCTGTTCCATCAACCTTTTACCTTAGTCAATACTTTCAGGTCTAAAAATTCTGCTAAGCTACACCATCTCTTACCCCAGTACTCCTACACAGAGTGTTTAAGTTGGATATGATGTTAGCATAATTGATGAATGTTGCTTTGTTTTATTAAATGGCTGTTCTGTTTCACTTCTGAGTTTACTGTACTTCCGTAAAGGCTGAAGCAATTGCTGCAGAAAATGGTAAAGCTTCAAAAGCTTTGGGGTTCTGTTGGAAATAATTTGCATTATGAATTTTCCAAAAGTAGATGCAGAGTCTAGTGAAGGTCTGCCAAAAAGGGATTAAAGCTCAGATATAAAGGGAAGTTTGGCAATGTATATGTCTCAGTTGGAAATCTAGCAGCAAGCCCATTCCACCAGCACAGTTATTTTTCAGTTGAGATAATGACGGATATGCATGAATGTTCTTCCAAAAACTGAAGCGTCTCCTGCAAACAGTTCAAAACCTGCACGGACTTCTCAACCTACTCATGATGTTCCAGAGAAATAATCTCAATCCACAGATTCACCAGCATTGAAGATGGAAAGCTTCCATTCAATCAGCCAGTTTCCCTTTCAAAAGCCTGTCAGCCATTCAGTACCTGTTCTAATATTCTCTGCTTAGTCTGGTTTTCAACATCGTAAGCTATTGTGGCTCCCATCATTTCCACTGAATGACAAGCTAACAGCTCTCAGCTCCCACTCTCAATACAAGATGAAACCATTTCATTCAAGATAAAAAGAGAAACCAGAATGTCCTACCTGCAGCAATACCCATCTTTCCATCCACAGCCACAGCCACAGCTGTGCTCACTGTCACCACTTTTGGTAAGCCACCTCCCTCTGTCAAGACACAAATACAGAGGCTTGGTTAGCTTACCACCAGAGAGGAGTAATACACTGCAGGAGCAGCTTGCTCACACACTTCCATGTCCAGGCCAGTGTGCACATATGCCTCAACCTGAAACATCCAAGAGTTTGGAGGTCTGCACCCTTCAAGACACATAGGCAACCTAAGGGGATATGAATAGTTTGTTGTTTTGTTTTGTTTTTTTTTCCTAGATAATATCCCATGATAAAGTAGCATCATCAGTGCAAAACATAAAGGACTGGCCTCCTCAATTTTGGGCAGGTAGAGCTTCTCTTGGGCCAGAAAGCTGCTCTGCTTCATGCATTAGCTAAACTCTGTAGACACAAGAGAAGCAGGACAGGTAATTCCGACACTGACTCTTGCACAGCAAAGACCAGGCTTACACCTAGCTCTGTTACCCAAGCCAGGCCAGCACCACAAACTGGAGAGACAGACACAGCACTTCCAGGATGCACTCCATTTTAGAAACAAAGTCTTCTGATACTTTGCTGCCCCAGGGTCTCCCGATTATCCTTTAGCTGCTGCTTTAAAGCACCCTGTAGGTCCTGTGTCACATCTGCCAACCCTGTGCAGATCTCTTAGCTCCCACAGGTCATTTAAAATAGCATGGCTGGATAGGTTTAAGCAACTGAACCCCGCCTCCCCTCTCTTTGTTATTGCAGCCTGCAATTGTCCATGTGACAGACTCCATTTCTGTATTTTTTTTTAAAGTGATTAGATTAGCTTCAGCTGGGGCACCTCCTTTAGAACTGCCAAGGGACAGTTTGAAGGTCACCATGATCAATTTAGTCTGCAATTGATTCCCTCCTTGCATGCTGTATGGAAATCTGCTGCTCAGACAGATGGGTCAGGAATTCTTTCCTTCCCAAGAGCTCCAGCATTTGCTACTGCTTTCAATTTCTGCTTTCGTCATTCCCATTGGTACCCAGAGTGTCCTGAGCACAATTCTGTGTCTACCACAGTTTAGCCTGGAGTCTCTCACTCTTTTTTTTTTTTTTTTAACTGAAGCCAGATTAACTTGCTCAAGGATGTCAGAAATAGCAAAGTCCTTGTGAAACAAATACCCAGCCAATTTATGCTCACATGCCTTGAGCCTAATCCTGCCTTTATGGCAAACCCCAAATTTCTTGCTTTCCCTAGGATGGAGCAATTAAGCAAAATACACTTAACAACCCTAGGAAAAAAAAAAAAAAAAAAAAAAAGACAAACCAAAAAACCCCAAACACCCCAAACACCCAATGCATGAAAGACCTGGGCTGCAAGAACAGGTCTACTTGACTTGCAGAGCTTTCCGTGCCATCTTCTCTCTAGGACTTTTGGACACTGGAAAGAGGAGCCCTGGATAAATTATTCTGATAACCTGCAACCTTTCCCTGCTGGTTTCCTTCCCAACAGGGAGGTCTTTGGGTTCTTCCCTCTTATGTGATGAGAAGTACACCTGCCATGAAAACCCCTTACCACAGGGTGGGCATGTACTGAGTCATGTGGAAAGCATGAAGGGGGGACTTCAGCATCTAATCATCCAGAATTTCATGAGAAAACGGACACTCTGTTCTGGCCAAAAGGTGGGACACCCCTGCTTCATCAGATGTCAAGGAAGGGCCTGGACTCTGCTCTGACAGTGAAGCACTGGCTCAGAAGCACGGAGTATTATTTCCTGACTCTTCACAAATATATCGTGTGATCTCACAAATCACACTCTCTAAGACCAGCTGCTCATCTCTAAAGAGACAATCTCCCTTACAGTTAGAGCATAATGTCTTCAGGGCCAGATACTACTTCTTACAATGTGTCTGCAGAGTTTCCAGGTGAATGGGATCCTGAACTTGATTGAAGCTTCTGACCAATAGCCACATAGTACAAAAACCAGTGGCAGCTGCTTCTCTTCTGTCTTTATTGATGCAAAACTGTGACTTCTATGAAAGCCACATCAAGCCACAACCCGTGTTTAGCCAGGAGTGACTATTGTGGCCTGGGTAGTGGCTACTCTAGGAAGCCCCACAGGATGTCACTGCCTGGTTTTCTAACCCATGCTGTATTCCAAAGAGAAAATGTTATGGCATGCAGGGGAGTAAAAGGTCCCTCCTGCCATCCCTCCTCCTCCTCTTTCCACACTTGCCTTATGTGAAATGTAAGGGTGCTGGGCAGAGAGAGGCTTTTGTGGAAGGTTTCAAGTATTTTCTCTCCATCCCTCTCCTTTTACATCCTGGTTCATCTCTTGCCTCCCAGTCTGGTTTTCTCTTGCTACTTGCTTTCCCACCCACCAGCCTCCCACCACTGCGCCACAAAAAGCTTTAGCAGCTAAAGTGCTGAGCTCCGTGACAGAGATGGAGTGCTAGGGGCCAGGGAGGAGCACAGAGGGGATTTCTGCCTTCTGTGGAGGAGTCTCACGTGAGTATTTTGTTTTGATTGTTTCTTTCTAGGCTCTTCTGCTCTCTTCCAGCCTTTGAGGAGGTCCTGGTTGGTCCTACAAACTCACGGAACTGGCACCCTGAGCAAGAGACTGAAAAGCCACTCCTTGCTTACCTCATGTTTGAGCTCCTTAGCTGGGCAACAGGTGACATAGTTTAGTAGTATGACTGGATGGGGGATCAATGAGACACCCTCGCCAAGAGGAAGCTATGGAAATGCCCTCCCTTTTCCTTCACCACCTTCCATAACAAACCCATCCTTTCCTGTCACAGGAAGTGGTGACAGAAAAAAATGACACCCTCTAAACTTAGACTTCCTGACCGAATGCTTGCTGATCCCTCACCAGTCCCCTAGCTGTTACTTTCATCCAGTTCTCCTAATGATGTTCTCTCCCAGGCCTGGTCATTCCTTCTGTGATACCTTTCCTTTCCCCTTCTTATGGTTCATGTGTTCTCTAGTTCCATAAGTAACTTGTGATCTCCCAGCACCTGCCTCCCTAAATCCTTCAGTCTTCCCAGGCGCTGCATTTCCATGCATGCTTCACCTCCTCTGCAACCTCAAGTTACACAGCCCAGTCTGCCTTCCCCACAGCTTTGTCTGGTATCTTGGCTGTGACCCCTCTGCTCCCATGCTGGTGTGAAGGTAACTCCAAAAGGCCACGTCTCAGCACTTCCTACTAGGTGGGAGGCAGCGATAAAGGGATTAGGATGAGCGTGGTGTGGCACGCAAAATATAAAAAGCTTTCTCTTCCCCTCTCCTCAGCTCTGGTGTTCAGGCTGCGGTTACCTGAATCATCGTCTGAGACGATGCTGTAGATGAAGCTCCCGGGGGGATGCTCGGCTGCCCGGCGGTACCACAGAGGGAAGTGGTCCATGGTGAAGATACTTTCCTTGTCCTTCTGTGTCAGGAATTTCCTGCCAGGAGAAAACCCAGGGCAGTCTTCCTACAACGGTGTGGAGGAGCGGCAGCCCTCCTCGGGGCAACGCAGTGTGACCCCGGGGGCTGGGCACACCACCTGCATCTCGCCGCCTGGGGCTTCCCCCGCGGCAGAGGCAGCCTGGGGAGCCCCGGGGCACCGAAACACACCAGCACTGGGGTCCTCGTGGAGCACCCCTTGCCCCAGGGTCTCCGGGGCAGCTTGCGAGACACGCACCTGTGCCTCACACCCCTCGGCAGGTGCGGGTCAGCGGCCGACCCCCGCGACGGGACCCGCAGCCGGGCCGGGCCAGGCCAGATTCCCGCCCCCCCCCCCCCCCCCCCCTCGCTCCCCTTCAATGCCGCCATTTTCCGGCGGCGCCCGGGGTCCCGCCGGCGGCGGCCGCCCCGCTCCCGGCCGCCCCGCGCCTCCGCCGGCCGCCCGCCAGGTGCCGCTGTTGCCCCGGCCGAGGCCCTCGGCGGCGCCGCCGGCGGCCCCGAGCGCGACCGAGGGGAGGCCGCGGGCCGGCAGCGTCGCGGCGGCGGCTGCCGCGGCCTCGGGGGCTTTGGTGCCCGGAGAGGGCGGGAGGGAGGGAAGGGACCCGGCCGGTTTATGGCGTGAGGAGCGAGGGGCAGGGCCGGGCTTGAGAAGTGAGGCGCGACGGGGGGCGTGTGGGCAGCTGAGGGATGTTAATTACTGGGAGAGAATGGGGAGAGGGTGAGGAGGGGGAATTAGGCAATCTCCTACAAAACAGGACAGAGCAAAACAAACAAACAAACAAAACAAAAAAAAAAACAACCAACCAAAAAAAAAAAAAACCCCAAACAAAAAAACACCACACCATTCCCCCGCCCCGCCCCAAATCAAACCACCACCACCAAAAAAAAAAAAAACCAAAAACAAACAAACAAACAAAAAACAAACAAACAAACAAACAAAAAAAAAAAACACAAAGGTTTGGCTGCTGTGGCTGAATACTGAGCTCCTAGGAACTAGATATGCACCGAATGAAGTAGTTGAGGAAAGGGACGCTTCTGAAAGCAAGCGGGTGGGTCCTGAGGGCATGCCAAGACAGGCAGTGGGTGCTCAGGAGAGAGACCTCGTGAAAATCAAGACATGAGCTTCCCTGGAGGTCCCTATGTCTTGCCTGACAAATCCCCTTTGTTTTCAGGCTCTCGTTTTGCTGTATATTTTGATGAACGATAATTACTCATTTATACAGTTCCATCCTTTCAGGGGATTCCAGAAGCACTTCTCATGTGATGTGTAGGGGTCTGTCACTGCAGTGTGGTGACTGCGGCTGTTTAAAAGCACCAAACGAAGCTCATGATGAGCAGTGTGGGATAGGGAATCATCATATCAACCTCCTATAGCACACATTTTCTCCCTTGTCGCCAGAGCCTGACTACTCTGACTTATCCAGACTGCCTCAAAGCCATGAAGAGTGGTGGCTGACAGTGCGTCACCTTTCAGGCACAGCCAAGCTCTCTGCCTTGAATGTATGACTTGTCTTTGGGGAACGCAGAGACAAAGAAACAGCGGCAAGAAGCTAAGGACCGCCACTGACACTGTCCCCTTCTGTTCCATCTGCTGGTGTGCCTCTGTGACTTGTCCTTTCCTAGAGCAGCATGCACCAGCCTGGATATTCAAAACAACAAAAATGCAAACTATACCCTTTCCATGTCAAAACCCTCCACTGAACACACACTTTCCTTGAGAGAGAGGACAAGAGAATGAAACATATATGACAGATGTCAGTCACATCACTTAATGCCTCACTGGAAGGCACTGGGATACTGCTGTGGTGCAGGCAATGTAAGAGGCAGAACAGAATAAACCTGGGAGAGGAATTGAGACAGAAAGATCAAACCTAGCCATGCTGGAATGTCACCAGGGCACTGGGGTGCAGAACCTCTGCACTACAAAATGGTCCTGGGGATATATAGTAACTGTTGACATTTTCTCTGTTAGCTGACTGAAGTCAGGGAATGATTAAAGGTTTTCATTGAAATGAATGCACTTTGGGACAGTATTTTAAGAAAAATTCAAAAGGACCAGAAGAACAAAAGGATCCCTACTACCCCAACTCTGTTAAACAGTACATGTGCCACCAAGGTGTTGCTTCTTTCCTTTCTGTTTCTGTCTCCCCAGATACATTCCTAAGGTTGGTGGTGATTTCATGCTGCCCCTTCAGAGTCAGAAACCCCTCAGTGCAGTTTAGGGACTTACCTGTTGGAAATTTTCTCAGAGCCCACGTATAGGACATTCCTTATGAGTCCAGCGCGAGTGCCCAGAAACGCCATCTCAACACCTGCCTCAGTTTCCCTGTGGAACAGAAACACACAAGCAGAAGCAAACAGTTCTCAGAAGAACAGCCATCTCCCTGCCTCAGGGTGAGGACCTTTCAAACTAGAAGCCATACCTGGAGATGTGGTCCTAAGTTCATTTGCATTATAACCCGTTTATACCAGGAGTGACACTGGCTCCTGCCTGCTAATGGCAACAGGTTGTTTCTGGCTAACAGTTGGCAGGCTTAGACCTCTGCCTAGATTCACGTCTTTGAAGTTTGTTCATTTAATTTTCTTCTAAGTGGACTATAAGCTCCTCTCCTCTTGCTAGCCCTGCTCCAGGCTGTCTGCATGAGGCTGAAGTAAGGGAGAGGGACTGCAGAGAGAGAGTGGCTGTCTCAGGCATGAAGGGGATGAGCAGGCTAGCAGTCTGATTCTGAAACAGTAGATTAATTCAGACACATTTTGCTGGAGGTATCAAGGGCACAGGTGGGACAGATACATGGTGGAGAGCCTGCTGCAGTGCAGTGGCCTTAAAGTGAGGGCTGTGTGTTAGTGTAGCCATTTAAAGATGTGCTGATAATTGGGTGTCCTAGCATGATTGCCATCAGCTCAAGCTCTGTTAGTGGTAGGGATACTGGTAACTGAAATGGGGACAGGAGTCCTGTGGCCACACATCTATGTAAGTAGCATGTTGTCTGCTCAAAGTAGATCTGTGTGACATGATACTAGATACTACAAGTGAAAGGTGCCTCTCTGAAAATAATAAAGTAGAAGGTTGTTTACTGAAGCCAGCCTGTCCACCCCTTCCTGAGGCTTAATCTGAAGGCATCAACAACAGAGACAAGATCAAACTTTCTTTTCTTCGCTGCTGGTAAGGGAGAAAATTCCTTGCGACCTGGGATGGAGCTTCTGCTATAGTCATATGGAAAGTCAAGCCAAAGCAGGCTGTGGCTATTCAAAGGGATAACCGATGCATGCAGAAATAACTCATAATAACTTTAAACTGAAATTATCTCAGATGCCCTCAGATAACCAAATTCTGTCAACTACAGAGGCAAATGCAGTGCTTCTGAGTTAGATGCTGCAAAAAACTGGTGCTGAACACCCTTTGCAGTGACACATCTGAACAACTGCTGTCCTCCGGTGATATTCAGACAAACTCACCAAACTAAAGGCTCCCTTGAGAAGGCCCAACCTTCTGGAGTCCACTCATGAGAGACACTTTTTGAGTTATTTCTAAAGCTATTGAGCTATTTCTAAAGTTTCTTATATGCCATATAAGGATCTGTGACTGTTTCAGGCACTGCATAAGCCCATAGCATCTAGAGATGCTTCTTCAATGGCATTTTACTCATACTCATTTTTCACAGACTTACAAGGACATATTGAGGGCTAGTGTTGTCCAATAGGCCTCCATGGGTGCGGTAACCACTGCATCAAACAGCAATTCCTGGACCAACTCCTCATCACCTAAGGAGAAGAGAGAACAAGGATCAGGAGAGAAAGATAGGTGCCTCCCTAGATGTCTTAGAGAGTTCCTTATTATGGAGTATCTGGCCCAGGGCAGTGAAGCAACATCACAAAAAGAGGCCTCCCCTTGCAGGGCTGAGAACAAGACCTACTACCCTGGATGACAGAGAGCAGAAGAACAGATGTCACATCTAAGATCGTCAGACTGCTTCCCCTGCAAACTCAGTGGAAGGGTTTGGGTTTGAAAGTGTGGGCAAGCGAGAGGCTTGCAAATGAAGTTATTAATCAGGCCTTCACTCCAACCTTCTCCTTGATGGAACAGGCTGTCCACAACCATTGCTTCAAATCCCTGGTTTGACCTTTCTTCTAGGTGCCCTGTAGAAGGACACCAGACACCCCATTCCACTCAAGAAGCTTCTTCAAAGCCCCTAGTGACTTCTTCATGGCTTCTACTCTGTCCTTCTGTTCATTGCCTTCTCTGTGACCTCTCTGTCCTTCATATAAATCCCACAAAATGCTGTCCTGTCCTGGTTCCTCCCAGATGCTCAAGCCAGTCTAGGCTACCCGTTTAGTCCAGTCTGAATTGGGACTGAGAGGTGTTTAGGAAGGTTCGAATATGCCATGTGCTAAATGGCATAATGTAAAGTCCCATGTATTTGACTCACTTCATTTCTGTATTGTCCTGCCTGCATTCATTTAGTGTTGCGAGAGTGTGATGGCTATTGTATTGCAAATATGCCCTTCAGTGCTGTTCTGTATGGAGCCACTGCCCCATTTCAGTGTTTCTGCCTCCACTTACTGGGTTGAAGTCCAAGGTTTCCCCTAATATTTTCTCCTAAATTCTCCCAATTTTCTTTCGCCTTTCTTTGTCACTGTTGTCAGAATCCATTTCTTCATCCTTGCCGTCATTCAGGCTTCAAAACCAGAGCTTACAAGCAGATCTTTCCCTCCCCAGGCCCCACACATCTAGGATGCATCCAAATCCTATTTCTTTTTCCTCCACAGCACTTCCAAATCTGCATGTTTCTCACAGTCAGCTTTCCTGAAACTTTCCCCCTCCTTCCTGGCCTCTTCTACTCATACATCAACTCTCTTCAGCCTTGTCCAAAGACAGCCTGGAGGGGTCTGCTCACACTATGCAAGACAGGAACAATTGTTATATTACATTTGGGTTTAGTTTGAAAAGATTCCCATCCTCATGTCAAAAGCTTGTGCTTCTCAGATGGAGCGTTACATGCAAAAGCTTGTATTTGGCACAACTAAGAGGGCTGAAGCTGTGGAGACTGAGGTGGGCTGAAGGACATCCTACAGCTAGAGTGCTGTAGGGAGTTCCCATGCACAGCTGCCCACCTCTGTCCCCAACAGACAACCCAGTCCACAGTGGTGCTGTATCAGCTGCTTGTGTGGCTACACGTTCGTTGCCTGGAGAATAGGACCTGGTGCAAGGGATGAGCAGCTGGGGGAGCAGGAAAGAGAATAATTCTGTAACAATTTTCTCCCCAAATCAATTACCTATTGTGTTTGGGAAACAAAATTAATAATCTTTGTTCTGAAAGAACCCATCTGTCTAGATGGCATCATGCAGCCCTCAGAGGATGCTTGCTGGGGCCCTGGGGAGCAGAGTAGTCACTAGTCACAGCAGCTTTCCTGGCTCCTCCTGCCATCACCACGTCTAGCCCAGCTGGTCAGTCTGTCTTAAACATGGTGTGCAGCCCCCACCAAGCTCCATTCAAGCCTTTCACTCTTCAGCATTTCCTATGCTGAGACCTTCAATAAGGCTGAGTTATGTGACAGCTTTGAAATGGAAAAAAAAATCCTCTGATGGAGACAAGGAAGTGGATCCTCAGCTTATTTCCACATGTGAATTAAGCTGGACTTGAGTTCAGTCCTCCCTGCGTGAGCAGGTGCCACAGGAGCTCAGTTTGACACCAATCAGTTTGTCACAGTTCCCTGTTCCCCATGATGGGTACAGGAAAGCCCCAGCAGGTCCCTTTTGGTGCCTGGGACTCACATTCCAGGTCAGGTTCCTCTCCGGTGAGGAAACGGATCACAGCCTCCAGCTGGCTGAGCTTCCGGTGGTCCGGATCGATGTCGGTGATGCAGTAAATCCTGGTGGGGAGGGGAGAAAGAAGCCCACATGGGCAAAGAGAAACCACAATCAAGCAAATGCTCCTGGAAAATAATAACTGCAAACAAAAATTCAGCGAGAGCTCTTGGGCTGCAAAGATTTTGGCGCTGCTGCATGCTGTGCCCACTCAAAATCTTAACAATGTGGCTGTAAGTCAAACCCTGCCAATAAACCAAACACAAATTAATCTGACTGCTGTGTTTAATAAGGCTTCTGTTATGTTCGCCGGCATAAGCTCACAAATCAATGTAGCAGTCCCAAATCCTTCCAGCAATTATATGTATTTTATGCTGTTTAAGATGTGTACCTGTGTCTATATAAACAATAAGAATGTGATGGAGAGACCTGAAAACCAGAGTGTCATGTGCAGTGTGAGTAAAACTGTATTGGAAGCAGGTAACCCAAGAGACAGAAAAACAAAATGTGAGACAAGGAATGAGCTTAAAGTATGATATGGTGTCAATAGAAGCTGTCCCAAAGGGACACAGCTGCAGGAGCCTCAGAACACAGTTTGGGGAGAAGCAGGAGAATGTATTACAAATATATTATAAAAGAAACCAGTCTTCTAATCCTGCTTCCAATTTTGACCCCTTCATTCTCAGGACAACGGAGAGGAAGGGGTTATAAGAGAGAATTACAACTCATAAAGGGTCTGAAAGGAGTGATTTATGAGAGAAGTCTAAGAGAAACGAATATGTAAAGTGTGGTAAGCTGACACCCCAAGTTAGGAGTAGAAGAAGGAGAAGTCACTGCTTGTGTCTCAAATGCACTGCCTGTGAAACTTGACAGTGTAATGAGAGGTGTGAAGGGCTGCAGGGCTTCTTGAATATAGTTATTTTGGCTTTGGTACAGGCTGGGTTCATGTGCCTGGGTGTAACTGAATGTTGGGTTCATGAAAATCCCAAACCTCACAGCAATAAATGGAAAGTGCCATGCTTCACCCTGTTTCATATCCAAACGAAGCAAAATCATAAATTATGCTTGCTATTGAAAAAGGGATCATAAATCACCTCCACGTTCACTAGAAATCAGGTCTAGGCTCAGTTCAGAAGAATGTCAACCAAAAATAAGCTAGGATTTAAAAAAGCATTTCAATCTCTCTCTAAACTTGTAACAAAATTTCCTGACAGGTCTGACATACTGTAGGCTTTGTAGCACAATTCTGAGCAACGCAAGGAGGAACAAAGTAAGTCTGAGCACAGAAGACTGAGGATAAATTTCAGGAGATGTTTCTTAGCAGAGGGATGTGCCAGGCCTTGGTGGGATCTCTCAAAGGAAGAGGTGGAACTGAATTGCCGGGAGACAATCAGATCTTTGCAGGTACTTTTTCTCTAGGCCACAGAGGGTTGGGAACTCAAGCCAAATTGCTGGGAACTTTGCCAAAATCTCATGACAAAGGCCTGTGTCATTGTCAGGATTTCCTCCACTTACCATTCATTCGCTAAAAACAAGTCTGGCTGGAGCAGGTCGTGCAAACCTGAAACCAGATCATACATAGAGTATTCGGTTAGGTAGCAGACAGGCAGATACAGGCTGTGAAGAAGTGAAGCAGTGAAGTTCAGAGTAGCTACCTCGTCCCTTATCACAGTGGGGCTGTTTCAGATTAACCTACCTTCTTCCACTGAAGTGTTCCCCAGCAGAATGTACTCCCCGTGTCCCCTGGACAGCACAACACCCAGGCTGCAGGCAGGAAGGAAAACAGGGCTTGTCAGCAAGGAGAGGTCTAATCCCTAAACGTGACACTGCATTCCCTGCAATTACAACCCTTAAAGACATTAACTCCCTCCACAGCTACTCAAGAAAAGAACATCATCAAAAGAGCAGTGAGATCCCATTTCAGCACGAGAGACTGAGGAACCTTTTTGTCCAGCTATGAGGCATTTTTGGTGACAGTTTTTTTGACCAACATTACATGTTCGAGTCAACAATAACAATTCTCAAATCTGTGCCAATTTCAAACCATTTCATCTGGGGAAAAAACACACAAAATTTATTTGATTGATTTCTTATATGATGTTTTATAATTTTGAGTTTATAACAATGTTTTGTTTAGAGCCATACACCAGAACATAAGGCATACTCACTGGAACTGAAAATTGAAGATGTCTCATTTGTCTAAAATGAAACAACATGCTTCATCTAAGGTATAGCTTTTGGACTCTGAACTTCAGATAAATCATAATATTCCTTTTGAGTTGACCCCAGACAATATTTTAATGGCTATGGGAACAAAGAAGTCAGTGATTCACACTGTTCTACTCATGAGTCGTAGCCAGTTTTGTAAAGAAAAGGAACCAGTTTGCTGTCCCTGATGGCAGACTTCTGAGACACCGTATCAGTGTCATGTGAGTCCTTGCTCACCTGAAGGGTGTGCCACTGATGTCCGTGAAGAAATAATCATTGGTGAGGAAGAGAACTCGTTTCTGGAATAAGAGCATGAATAAGAGTGAGAGACTGTCTGACAGACCAAGAGCTGAGTGATGATGGGGACCTGGGATATACGTCCCCAAGGCTAAGCAAAAGCAGTTGATCATTAACAACACTTCACACCCTGCTAGGGCTGGCTGGAGGCAGGGATGAATGTGCAGTATTCAGCATATTCAGCAACTTGTGACTTTTGAGATCCAGGCAGCCACCCTGTCTTTCTACCTAGGGCTTCAGTTATACCTTTCTTTGTTCTAGGGCTCCTGCACAGGCTGCAGGAAGGGGTGGGGGGAAGCTGCCCTCCCTCTCACACCCTCTGAGCCAACATGCTGGGGCCCTGCTGCTCTTTTGCTACACAGAGCAACCTCGATGGCTTTGCACATCATCATCATCTTCCCAAGCAGGAGTGGGGGCTCAGTGGGACAGGTAGACAGAGAGGTGGGGTTGGAGGAGAGGCAGGATGGCAAACCTACCCACTGTGTGGGTGGGCAGCTGCAGCCAAGTCTCCCCACTCCTGTGGGAAATGCTGAGATTCCTGATATTAGCTTTCATGCCAAACTGGAACAAAACATTAACGTACTCCAATTTTGTTGAAAAAATCAGTAAAAAAATAATTTACATTTTCAAATTGAAAAAAAGCGCTGATTCAAATCCAAGCCATTTTGATTCACATGAAAATATACTTTTCAGGCTGAGATTTCAAACTGAAGACATTTCAGATTATTGAAAGCTGCTTCAGAACTTCAGCTGTTTGCCAGACTGGCCTTTTCCTGTAGGAAAGTGTTGATTTCAGTGGAACTCTTTTCCAAAGGAGAAAAGTTTTTGGAAAGTTTCTATCCAACCCTTATGCCAATATATGAACCCTAATATGTTTAAAATCCCAGCCCCAGTCTGAAAACGAGGTGAGAGGATGTGTGTGGGAGACAGGGAGTGAACACAGAAAACTCAGTGTTCCCCAGGGAAAGTCGCGCCTGCCCTAACCTGCTCGAGCCGTGCAGCGGTGGAAGGGGAGCGAGGCGCAAAGGGGGGAGCCAGCGCCAGCTCCTCAGTGCGCCCCCAGTTTGTGCGCACAGCGGATGGGCCGATGGGGACGGGGGTTGTTGTTAGGTGAGGAGGTGGCAGATGGCTCAACCCCTTCCCTCGCCTCTCTCTCCATGCGTGGCAGTTGGGTACCGCTGAGCAACAGGGTCCAAGGCTTTTGCTGAGCTGAGATGTTCCAAAGGGTTGTGATACCCCCAAGAAACAAGACATGGTGGTGTTTTGGTGACTGTGGGGATGATACAAGAGGCATTAAGCCTCCCTTTCCTGGTCTGATCTGACGTTGGAGGAGGGGAGGCATGGGGAAGAAGGAGGCCTGGGGCTGTAGGCCTGCCCCTGGGGGAAAGGATGCAGTAGAAAATGGCCCAGTGGCACCACTGCATTCCTTCAGCAGGGCTTGTTCTGCTCATCCTTTGTCCCCCTGACCTACCCTTCTTCTGCACATGCAGCCACTCAGCACTTGCGCCTGGTGGGAGGGAGGGCAAACCTCTCTTCGGGCAGGGGGAGGCGATGGGTGGCCAGCCCTCCCCAGGACAGCTGGAGGTATCACCACTGAGCCATGGGAAGGAAGGGAAGCAGAGGCACCCCTGAGCCAAGCGGGGCTGAGGATGATCAGGCAGGACTTTGCTGCATAACACAGAGCAAGGGAGAAGGCAAGAAAGGGGCGTGCTGGCACAGTGATAGGATGGCTGACTACCAGCGCCTGTGGCCTGGGAACACATATATTTCCAGTTTTGGTATTGTCACTGTACTAGGCAGCCACTCCTGGCTAATGCCATTATTGGTGGTTTGCCACAGCTCCTACCCATGTCCTTGCTCTTTCGCTTTCACAGTCACAGCCCTTTTGTACCCTAGCTGCAAGCAAAGGCATTTTTGCTGCCAGATCTAACAACCACCCCTTGTCTTTGGTCTTTATTTTTCTCTATCTCACTCCGCTCGCAATACCTTCCTGAGATCAACCTGTGGAATCAACGTTTACGTGGCTGACAATCATTTCTATCCCCTTCGCTCAGCTGTTCTCTCTGCCATCTGACTGCCTCATTCTCTTTGTTTCAAGGCTCTGTCAGCACTTTCTTTGTTTCAGCGCTGCTCTGCTTCATCAGCTGGCAGAGTACAAGTGGGAATTGCTAAGTTTCACTTCTGGTCCTCGCTCTGTGTGTATTCCGATAATAGTAAAAATGTCACATAGTCAGCTTCAGTCTCCTATTATGCTTCATAATGCTTGCAGAGTCGCAGAATAAAACAGGTAATATCTCTTACCAAGGCTACTTTCTGTTATCCTTTTTCCCTGAGTAGGGGAGCAGAAAGATGTCCCTAAAACATTGAGCTAAAAAGGTATTTTTGGATGACTCAGATGAAATGTTATTGAGGGTGCATAGAGACAGAGAAAGAGGTAAAACTAGCAAAATAAGCCATCTAGACTTACAAAGAATAGATCTTGCTGGAAACCCCTGATTGCTTTCCTGGCAGAATAACAAAGGTAATAGATGAAGGGAATAAAAGATATGCAATGTATCTGGGTTTATATAAAGCACTTGAAACAGCTTCTCATGAAATTTTATGCTAACGAATCAGTTAAAGTGGGCTTAAATAAGATGTGGAGTGAGAACCAGCTGCAGTACTGTAAACAAAAAGAAACAGTAAACAACAGGGCATTGAGGGAAAAAAGATCCAATGAGAGGAAAAGACAGACTCTGTCTTAGAAGCCCTTATGTACAGTGATCTGTAAGACGAAATAAAACAACATTTCTCGGCATACTGAGAAAAATTCCCAACAGCAGTAAAAATTAGGAAGACTAGACAAAAAGGAGTGGGATTCATGTGGAAAAATGGCAACTGGAAAAAATAGCTAAGAAACATGGAAACCAAGGCAGCTGTTCTGGTGCAGCTGTGGAAGGGAGAAAAAATGGAAGGGAGAGCAGAAAGGAGATTTGGGGCTCCCTGTTTAGAAGTATCCTATTGCAGAGAATAGATGGTCTCTACAGAGCAACAGGGAAACAGTACTCAGATAATTCAGTGAAGCCCTGGTATTTGTGTACCAGGAATTATACAAGAGACAAAGGGAACAAAAATAATTGTTGAACTGCTTGGACTGAAAAGTGTGCAATATTTCAAATGCAGATGTAGGCAATGCCCAAGAGAGGACGCACAAAGCCATGGACAGGTACCTGATAGCTGCAAACACCGAGAATAGAAAAAGATAGTTTAGTTACAAGGTCCAGCAGTACAACCATTCAGAAGAAACGTAGGGGTGTCTTCATTAGTAAATGGCATCATTTCAGCAGTGGCTGTGAGCAGCCAGTTTATTGGAATTGGTGCTGACTGTGGGAGCAGTTCAGCCAGCCTGATCACTGAAAAAAATGGTCTCTATAAAAGATGGAAAATTTTCCTGAAATATGGAAGACTTCTGGGCATTGTAACTTGCGGGACTCTGGAATACTTTGTAACAGGAAATGATGAAAGCCAAAATCTTTAAGAGAGTTAAATAAACCTGAATGAAAAAGTACCTGTGAATGTAAATGTACAAGACAATTTTGCATGGTTCCAAGGGAAGATGTATAACCCTACATTAGAGCTGGTAGGGAACGTTCAAAAGTCTCCATTTCACTAGGACTTTTCCTAAAACATCTGTAAATATTTGCATAGAAATTTAATCCTGGACCTGAATAAAGGAAATCACATTCTGACAGAGTGAGGGACAAAGTTTTCATGAATGTTTTTGGGTAGGGAAAGTGAGTTGCAAAATAGCCTTCAAACCTCCTTCTGTCTAGGCCAGCCCAGCATAGTTTTCCCCCATTCTAAACTCTTGAAGAGCTCCATTTCACAGACGTATAAACAATGAACAACATGGGTTTTGGCTTTGCCTGAACAAAGTAAGGAGCTAGGAGTCATTTCCAATACCTTTGTAAGAGCAGACTGTCGGTAGGTATAAAGAGCACTTCTAACGATGCTCTACTTTATGTCTTTAGCACATGTGTTGTGTATGTGGTGAAATAATAAAATCCTCACACTCAGAAATGCTGAGCATTAAAACCACATCCTTTGTGGTTCTTCAGCATCCATTTCCCATCCCCTCTCTCATGTGACTTGAACAGAAGGATAATTTCTTACCCCTTTATCCATAGGGACTTTCACATCCATAGAGAGGTAGCCCGTTTCCCCATTGATCATGGCAGTTCTCAGCTGCAGAGGTGAAGAAGATTAGTATTAGTGTCTCCAGGCAGGGCAGGAATTATTAGAACCACTTGTTGTTAATGAACAGGGACTGGCAGAGAAGAGTGACTTCACCCCCACAGCTCTTTTTTGCTTCTTTTAAACTGAGAACCTGTTCTTGGTGGTCAGGATACTTGTTCAGTCAGGCTGGTAAGTGACATAGAATAGTAATGGCTTATGCTGAAAGCTTGTTTATATGTCTTTTTAGCTAAAGGAAAGGATCTGGAAGCTATGAAATTGTCAGTCCAAGTTTCAGACTTCACTGTTTGGCAGCCAGAAAGTCATTAGCATGGTGCTTTGAGAGCCTGGAAGAGGAGACACCTGAGAAGCCCACTAACTCCCCCAGACTGATTCCAAAGATCTTGGATAGTTTTTGAAGTGATTTATAAATTACAGCCTGTATTCAGCACCACTTCTGAAGTGCAGCGAAGCAGCTGTTTAACACAGTAAAACAAGAATGTATGATAGGAGGGTAGGCATCAAGACCAGTTTATTCAATCCAGGTTCCAAAGGCAAAATGTAGTTTTCACAGTGACTCCCAGCCTCTTGCAAGAAAGAGCCAGGGAATTTTTCCACAAGTGCAGAGGCTTTAACTTTATATCCAGCCTGCCAGAGCATATCAGCCTATTGCTTCAGCCTGGATAGAAAAAAAGGTGGGAAGTAACTTATTCATTCACACAAATTGCTTCCTTACTTCCAGAGACAGACCTCCATTCAGGTACTGGCCAGTCTCAACTGCATTTGCTTTACAAGGCCACAGTTCTGTTTATTATGGCTGTTTGATGTGGGTTATTTACAGACTTTGAATATAAAGCTTGTGTTTCCCAAGGCCCACATCTTGGAAATCAAAACACTGACTGGTACTATTACTCCTTTTTGGCTAAGAGTGTCTGACCTCCTGCCAGAGCCATGGCATACTCTCTATTCTGGTCTGACAGCCTGCAGCATTTTCTATGGATTCTATGTTTAGTTCAGATATAGTTGCTCCATCCATATCTGCTTGAATGTCAGGCATCTCTTGTTGCCCCATAAGGCAGTGGAAAAGCAAATAATTGGATACCCGAGATCTCCTTGGATCTCCTCAGCTCCAGCTACTCTGCATACAGACTATTTGTCCTGGGCCCAGCCCCTGGGTGACAGTTGCTGTAGGTTGGTGCCACAATCCTGGCTCGCTGCTTCTTCCTCAATAGCTTTTCCTGCACTGAGAAGTCAGTTACTGTCCTGGTGTCTGGAAACCCTCATAAAGCTCAGTCCTTTCTAGGCAGGACACTTCTGGCCTCCACTTTGAAAAATGTATAGCAGAGTTTGTGCAGTGGGGTGGTCTGGTACATGCTGAAGCACTCATTCCTGACACCCCAAACAGCAAACTCTCCTGCTCCAGGGCATAAGTCCGCGCCGTCTCCGTCACTGGTAACGAGTGCTGCTGACTCCTTTCCCCTGTCTGCTTGTGTGGTTTCAAACTGCCACAAACATACGGTTTACCCGAGGGGTCTCACAACATCCAGGTGTTTTGTCACTCAGTTTCAACATCTTTGCAGACTAATTTCTTCTTCAGTGGTTCTGTCAAGGTTGAGGAAAATCTGCTTGGGTGACAGCTCCTAGGCTGCTGGGAGGATCTCTTGACCCTTCCTTTTCCTCCTCAGGCTGAAAATATCCCTGTGTTACTTTACAAGCAAGCTCAAACTTCCTTGCTGCCTAACTGCAGATAGTACTATTGTGTATCAATTGGTATTTTCCAGACAGTGCCATCTTCCCCTAGTTTTTTTTTTTGTTTTGTTTTGTTTGTTTTTTTTTTTTTTTTTTTTGTTTTGTTTTGTTTTGTTTTTTTTTTTAACAGCTGGCTGTATTACACATCATTAGCACTTGGGCATATTTTTACAGTCTGAATTTGCTGCTTATCAGTGTTGCTGAGATTATACAGCAACTGATGTTGAGTCTGTCATTGATCTAATACCATAGCTGCAAATCTGAGTGTTGAAATGTTGGCAGCTTTCTGCTGCAGTGGGTGTATCTTGAGAGTCTCTAGACTTGCTGAAGTCACACTGCAGATATTGTTCGCGTCACTGAATGTCTCTGTACCCTCAGTGACTGCAACCTTTCCTTCTTGTGGAAGATGCAGTACAAGAACACAAAGTGGCTTTGTTTCTCATGCCTCATAACTTTTTTTTTTCATTGGATAGTTTTATTCTAGTGCCAACAAACAGATACTATACCCTCTGCATCATATTTGCATTCAGGTATCAATGCTATTTGGCCAGACAGGAACCTGCTAGTCAAATAAATATGACAGGAAACCAACGCCCTCTCATTTCTTGGATATTTGTTGTTGTTGTTGTTTTAAAATAGCAAACTGGGTAAAGAGGAGCAGCTCTAAGAGTGGCTCCAGTGAGAGAGAAAAGTACAATGAGAGAAGAGCTCCTAGAATATATCAGTGAACCCACACAAAGTCATTGGCAACCTGCCTCTTGGTGGTTCCACTGCATGTAAAGCCTCTAATTTTTGTCTTGCTTTCCACATTCCATGCCCAGTTCTTCTGTGTTTTCTTTCTCAAGTTGCCACTCTTTCACTTCCCAAAGTCCTTTGGTGTGGCCCTTTCTACCTGGCCTGTGCTAGCAGCAGTAGCTGCTTTGATCCTCTCGCTGGGCAGTTCCTTTGTCATTCCTGTTTAAGTGGATATCTATAGCATCTGATTTGTTTATCTCAGCAGTCTCCCCTGTAATCCAGAAGCATCTGTCCCACAGCTAGTTCTATCTTACTCCAAATTCAGTTCTCATCCTAGTAACTCAAGTGTCTATTCTCTTCTAAGTAAAAGAAAACCAGCTACAGAGGAACTTTTCTACCTTCTCATTATATCTGGGTTCCTAGTCAAGCAACGCAGCAATGTGTAGCTGTTACGGCGCATGCTGGTTTTTATCACTTTTTAATAATTTTCCTCAAAAGACAGTAGAAAAAGTATTTTCTAATCTTTTCTCTCTGGTCAGCTATTGTTTTCAGTGCCTCCATACCTGAGCAATAAGGTGGTTTCTGGATATTTGGTTTTCTCAGGAGTCTAAGTTACTTATTCTCTTTGTCTATTATTAATAGTGACTACAAGCTTTAGTCTCCTTTCAAATGTAATTTCTTCCTTGCAGATCTCATTGAGTGGCTTCAGCTATATCTCACCTACTACATGTATGGGTAACATAATGGCACATTGCCATACTCCTAAGCTATCTTGGCTTTGTATTAAGGCAGCATTTGGGCCATGTAGACACAGACTGGCTCCCTGGAACACTCTCCAAAGTGCTTCCTTCCTCCTACCAGCACTTTCCCTCCCTGTTCCATGAGAAGGAAAACTCATACAGGGAAGGAAGACAAGCACTTTGTAGGGGAGCATCATCATTTTACTCTTGTAGACTGCCAGCCTTTCTTAGTCAGGGCCAGTCGGGTACAGAAAAAAACAGGAGTGTCTGCTGCTCCTCTGCCCCTTCCATACAGGCACACAAAGTAATAGAAAGAAGGAGCTACGGAAAAAGCTAAATTAACTTTCTGATACTCACTATTTCATCCTGGTCTTCCCATTCCACTTCAGAGAGATCTACGCTATTGTAGTTTGGCTTAGGCTTCAGTTTCTTTCCTTCTTTATACTGGTATTTATTTAAAAAAGAGGGGAAAAAAAAAAGAAAAAGAAAAATACCCAAGTAAGTGGCTAGATATCTTCCTAAACTAACCCTTTAAGAATTAGTATTTGAAAAATGGGGGTGTCTCATTTATTCTCTGACTAGGAAGGCAGCGTTTGGGTGCAAGTGCCTTCTAGGTCCCATGCCATGTATTTATTTATGTGGGCAGTGCCGGGCTAGGAGAGTTCAAGTGGGCAAAGCTGATCCAGGAGCAAGGGACAGGCAGGAACAAAGGTCAACTTGCAGGTAAAGGCTACGACCTCCTTTGTGAAAGCATTCTTCTAAATAGATCAGTACTATACACTTGCCTCCAGGAAATCAGTTTTTTTCCCCACAGCTGAGTGTAATCCCATTAACATTATAATACCATCAAGAGATCTTTTCTGATGGGAATTAGGGTTTAACTCCACTGACAGAAAGGTAGGCTTTTCACCTAGGGCTGACTGATGCAAGAGAGCTGTTTCCCTGTAATCTTCCAGGTGATGGAGAGGATGTGAAGTAGACTGAGAGAGGCCAATTTCAGGTGGAGGATAAAGCAGTGCCCTTGCCTAGATTTGCCTTGACCCATCCTGGAAACACGTGTCCCTTCTCTTCACATACTGAAGTAACTACCCATGCGTGGGGTCTCCCTGTGCAAAGCTGCTGTGGAGCCCTGTAGTGGCACTTTCTCTTGCCAGGAGCCACACTAACTCTTACAGCTGTGTGCAGGTAATGGATTTGTGCCGATAGGCGTGTGTATGAAATGTAAAACCTTTGCATGCCTGGGTATCTGAGTAACAAGGCCAGCTGTGTGTTTGCAGACAGATGTGAGGTCTGGAGCTCCAGGTGGCACCACGAGGGAGAAACATTGTCCTTGTGTCTGCTCCCTCAAGTCCCAGGTGGTCTTTGCAGCCTACTGCTCTCCAAATTGTCCCTGACTTACTATGTTATTGAGATTTGTGGTACTGGAGCCTGCTAGCCTCAGATTCCCCAAATGTCCAATACTATAGCTGCTGGGTAGCTATTACTGGGGTGCTACTCATGCTGAATCTTCTTGTAGGAGATCTGCCTGAGCGAGGGGAATTGTTTCTTCAGTCTGGCAGTGAAACCTTGCATGGATGCAAATACACATGCACACCAATACAGCCCTCACACGTACTCTTATGGAGAGCAGACAGGCAGGATGCCTTACATTTCATACACACGTGTGTGCACATATATACATCTGTGTATGTGAAACTGATTTCTCTGGCCCTTGTGCTCCTGGGTGCCTATATATGAGAACCTAGTAGCCTTCACAGCTCAATAAAATATGAGAATTCAGGAGCATCCCTGAAATCCACTGTTTCCAAGTACACAAAGGTTCTCAAATTCACAGGTATACATACCAAAGGACGGAGGTCTGGGTGTGAAAGAATGTAGCCATTGTTGGTGTTCAGAAAGGCATACCCATGGACACCCAGCTGGAGAAAGAGGCATTAGAATAATTAGTGGTTTAGCTAGAAATACTGCCAGGTAATGGGTGCCACTGGTACCCTGGCATCACCAATATTCAGAAATATTTTCCTATTAAAGGTACTGACCAGCAGAAAATAGGGTGCATCCCAAACCGTTTATTTCCAGATCTCTGGCCGCTTTGTCTGAGCAGGCTGACTAGGCTTGGATGCACGAAAGGATGGGCAGGTAATTGATTTCTGTACACATTCAGAAAAAGATGCCCTCCTAGAGTCTGATAGTCCTCCTGGACAATTACCACCCGGAGGCAGAATAAGCTCTCCACAGCAGGCACGGTAGTGCTGCACATAAAACAGGCATTGACAGGGAGTGTCGTAAACAGTACAGAAACGGCAGTGACAGGTCTGTATGCCCATCACTACATATGCACAGCAGTGAATGAACAAGTGAGTATGAATCTCACAGATGCCTTCCCTGGAAACCTGGTCAGTCTTCAGAGGAGCTCTGCATTATGTTTCAGTGTTGGCAAGACCAGACCTAGCCTAGGCCAATTGTACAAGACTTAAAATGCTTTTTAAGGAATAGCATAATCTAACAAGAGCAGACACTGGCTGGCCTGATCTGCAAGAGATTTCTGAGAGAGCAATTACTCAGATCAAGCCCATATATAATGCAAATTCCAGCTAAACCCTGAGCTGCTAAAAACCTACTGATAGCCTGTGCTTGCCAAAACAAGAGGTGTGTAAAGGAAAACAAGAATGGCTAAGGTTTCTATCTTCAAAAAAAAAATTGCAACTTAATATTCCTATAGAGACAATCCTGGAGGGATAACAGTAGGGAAATGGGGAGGTAAGTAATTTACAATCCGTCTGTGCCTTTTTGGAGGGAAAGAATTCTGTATTTCACACATCCCAGATCAAAACTTTGGACTCCCTCTGTGTGAAACAGTTTTTTGCGAAGCCCACTGAGCTCAGCTTAATGTAGCAAGAATGAAACAAAGACATTGGATCAGGACTACAACAAGCTTCCTTGTTGGTCTATTAAAGCTGAAATTTCCCAGCCCAGTAAGTTCTCAAGGGCTGTAACTCTGGAACTGGTTCTTTGTAATCCATATGCTGGGAGACTCAAGTTGAATATCATAGGTTTCCAAACCGGTCTGGAGTTTGAAGAGCTTCTGGGAAGTCATGTCCGGCCTCTGATGTTAAGAAATCCTTCAAATAATTCTCCCTCCTTCCCTGACACTGCTTGGAGGAAAGAACAGTGTCCCTGCTTGGCCAGAAGGAAGATTATTGTGACACATGGCCTTTGAGTGACATGGAGGGAAGAAGATGAAAAGATATTAGTCTTATAGAGAAAATAAAAGTGTGTAAAAATTGAAGCTCCTATACAAGGTTCCCCCAGACTCAAACCAGCTAGCTTTTGCATGCTGAGTACATGCACCCCAACACCCATAGTTCCTGGGTTGTCTGAAGCATCATTTCCTACAGCTGCATGTAAATGGTCTGCCCTGCACCCATGTCTAGAAGCGCCACACAAATTCATGGCTTCTGACAGCACTTTCAGTCCTGTGAGTCTTCAGCAATCAGATTTTGGACAACTGCCTAACTGGTAGTAGTTGTCTGATAGTCATTTAAGAGAAACTGAAAACTTGAAATGATGGCTCAGATTGCCTGATTTCCTGGTGATCCTCAGATGTGCTTGCTGTCTGCTGGTATGCAGACTAATTGAACAAAAGGTCACTGCACAGAATTTACAGCAGAAACCAAACTAAACAGTGCATCTCTGGGGGAGTTTCCTGTGGATGAACATATTTTTTTTAGATCTATTGAACATATAACTAATGGAAATTCTGGAGAACAAATACTCTGTCTAGGTACAGCACAAGCAAGTGAGAGCCAACTTTCTGTACACTGTATTGCCAAGAAATCTTCATGCTGATCTGGAGAAAGGAACCTCTAGGCATGAAAGAAAAGTTGGCTCTCCACAGTCCATTCAGTCTTCAGTTTTTCTGCTAAGAACATTGACAGTGAAACCAATTTAGTTTTTTCAAGCTGGCATGGCAGTTTTTGTCCATTAGGAACTGAATATAAAACTTTAATTCTTCTGAGATAGGCTGTCAGATCCATATCATCTCTGAGGGATCTAGGTTGGTGACCATCAAGATGCAAAGGATCCATGACCTGTTGCCAATCTACTGGATCATCCAGTCCTTGTGTTTCTGAAGCAGCCTAAGAACTTCTAGTAGTGACTGATTTCCCATGTGCTGTAGAGAAACCATGCATCACCATATCCAACATCTCTTGCTTTAAGCTCAGAGTTCTTCCTACAGACCAAGGAATGATTTTGTCAGTCATGCCCGTGGAAGAATGACTAGTGACTTTGCTGTGCAAAATAACAAATTGCATTATCTCAATCTTACCTTATACCGTGGAGCAAGTTTTAACAACTCCCTCAGTGGTACATCAGAGCCCACCACACCCAGGAGAATGCCATGAGATCTCTTAAAAACAAAGGAGAATCCATTTTCAGAAGCAAAACTTTGGTAGCTCTCTACCTGAATACACATTATTGCCTTCCTACTAGTCTCTCACATGCTCTCTCTAGGCTTGTATGAATATATTAATTCAAAACCAACTAACATACTTCAAAAAGTCTCAAGAAGTTGCTTCAATGTTTATGGAGAGGTACATTTCTACCCAATACTAGTCAGCATTTCTATGATTCAGAAGTAACATAAAATCTTGACAAGTTTTGAGGGCAAAACCCTGCATTCAGTATGTGTAAATAACAATAAGGGCAAGGCAATCACACACAACAGCAACTACACCGAATGTTAAATACAAAATTGTTAACCTAGGAAAAAGGAATGCAGGAAATCCCCATGAAATGGGGAACTGTTTGCTTAATAAGCATCTGGGGAGCTTGATGGAAAAATGGCACACAGGCTCCCACTGCGGTGCTGTGCTAATACAGGTTAAGGCCAACCCCAGGTGGAGAAAGTAGACAATATTTGTAGGACCTGGATGAAGAGTTTATCCCTTGTACAGCAATGGTAAGATACTGACCACTATTTAAAAATTATGCTGAGGAATTAGAAATGGTACAGAAAAGAGTATCTAAAGGGTTTCAAAACCCAGAGGAAATGCCCTTATCAGACACCTAAATTACTCAACCTTCTTATCTTATCAAAAGATAGACAGGTTTGACTTTATTGCAGTGTAGAAGATGCTTCCCAGGAGAAGATACCAAAGGGTACAGGCTTTCTAACCTAGTAGAGAAAGCCATTATGACAGGAAGGTGAGGCCAGACAAATTGAAAGTGGAATTTAGACACCAGTCTTTAACAGAGAGTGAGAAACCGCAGTGGAGAGCTCAGGGCTGGATACTTTTCTTCAATGACACTTTTGCCAAACACAGGTTATTTGGCTCGTGAAGGACCATCTATATGAAATGTAAATGTCTGCAATAAAATGCACAGACTAGACAAGGTAATGATCTCTTCCAGCCTGAAACTTTATGAGTCTGTGAATTAAGCTAGGTTTGAAAATGGAAGGGATAAACCAGGGAGAAGTGTCATATTTAAGGGGTATTTTGAAGAAAAAGCATTCAGAGGAAATGACAGACTATCATTTTTTCAGATAAGTTATCAGCCGCACATCCTGCCGGAGGTCTACCGCAGTCCCTAATGGCCAGCTCCTCTTTCAGAGACCTGTTGGCTTTAAAACCCTGCAAAGGTCCGCTGCATCCTTTCACCTCTGCTGGCTGGAAGGAGAGTGAAGCCCTCATTGCACTCACCGTTTCGTTCTTTTTGCTGAAGACTGGCATAGCCACTGTTGTCATGAGCAACAGACTTTGAGCCTGAGATGCAAAGAGCTGCCACAGAACAACAAGCTGTGTGTTAGCAAATGCAATACCGCAGACAACCCAAATGAAAGGCACTGGAATTCCCAAGGAACCCAGATGTGGATTACAATTAGTTACCACCTTGCCTCCCACATCCCTCTAAAAACAGATGGCAGCACTTTTCAATACTCTCTATCCAAGAGGATCGTGGGATGGATGTTTGCTCGTGTGGGGTGATGAGGATGGGATGAAAGCCAGGGAAACATGTCAAAGCAGGAGAAATTAAAGAGCTCTTTTAATGAAGAGACAGGAACCTATAGAAGTGGTGGCACAATTTATACCCACCACGCACTGGGAGTGTAGACATGAGCACTTATGCAACAAGTGTAAAAACCACCAAACAAGGAGCACAGAATAGGGAAAAACAACACAAATACGAGCAAAATCACAAACAAGATATCATTTATATTGCAAGAACATGAATACCACTAATGAGAAACACCACAGGCAAATATTTAAAAGGCACAAATACACACAGAGCCTGCTTATATATACACTTGTTACTCAAGCATCTAAGCTTAGGAAAAACAGAGACAAAATCACGATCCAAACAGATACAACATGGTGAGCTCTCTCTATGAGGGATATAAGACATGCATGTGTAATGGGGTAGCAGATGCTTCCAGTACTGCAGAAGACAGATGCTCTAAAAACACACATGAAAGGAGGTAAAACATGCATGACACATGCAAAGGAGTCTTCCAAACATGCCTAGCTATTGAAAAGACCTAATCCCTTGATGCTAGTAGCATTCCCCTTCCACCTCTCATTTGGTCAAGTTAAATAGCAAGGCAAGAACTGACCTCCTGTCTCCATTACTGTACACACTAGGAGCCATAAAGGAGACAGTCAATAGTCGATGCAGTTTGATGGAGATTTGAATCTGGTACCTGGTCTGGATGATTCTGTGTGGAAACTTCCCATTCACATTAACTCTCACACCAACACACAGCAAGTAAACTTCTCTGGCACTTACCGGACATGTGGAAAAAGAGGTCTGGTGAACTAAGCTACAGCACAACAGAAACACTCCTACCTACACTGAACCAACAGCACAACACAGCTCTCCAGTACATCCAGCATTTCCTCTCCTCTTCTTGCTAGTGTAAGAGGGCTGCCTGCGTGCTGCAGCCCCCACACCCCTCCAGATGTACAGGCCAGCTGTGGCTGTGAGCACTGGCACTGAAACACCAATTGGCACAAGGGAAACAGCACTCTCACAAAACACAGGGGTGCAGTTACCTCCTCAGACTGTGGCAGCTAGTGAGAGACATGGATGGACAGATGAATGAATACGTGTATGGAGGAATGAATCAAAGACTGGAGAGTTTGGGGCGGAGGAAGAAAATGGCAAGCCAAGACAAGAGACAAGAAAGAGATGCAGCAAAAAAAGCACAGCAAACAAATCCCTGTGGCTGCCTTGGGAAGTGCACCACCACGTATCAGTGCCAGGGGTGGCATGCCTGCTGATGGAATGAACTTGCTGGGTAGTTAGTAGCATTTCTGGAGGTTTTACTTATCACACTCAAGTACCATGTCCCCAGCTGTCACTGGGCACAGCTCCTGAAGCAGAAGACATCCCCAAGTCACGCTCATAGAGGTAGTGTGCCACAGCTGCAACCTCAATGGTCAGCCACAGCACAGAGGTGGGGGACAGTCCCTTCCCATAAGTCTCATCTGTGCACCATGATGGTGCATGCCTGGCTGCCTTGGAGGTATTTATTGGGGTTTGTGTGGTCTTGACTCTGAGCACAGTATCAAGCACCACCATATGTGACCTGAACTTCCACATTTCCTGCTTACAAAGCAAAGCTCAGTACCCCTAGTTTTACTCAACTCAGAGTTTAGGTTTCTCACCATGGATCTTAAACCCCAAAACTGTAGGTTCTCCCCAGGACTGTGGCAGACACCCTAAAGCTGCTGCTGGCCAGACTGAAGCCAATGACTTCAGTCCCACAGTGGGACTGTGTACTGAAACATTCTCGATGTTTCTAGAAAATTTTTCCCTTCAGATAGTATAAACAATCCTGAGACCTCAGGTTTGTTTCTGGAAGAGGGAAATCTGACTTCTGGTCAGCTGTAGCTATCAGTTATGCAGACACTTTTCTGGGCTGAAGAGTCCAGTATAAGGAAAAAAAAAATTATCTCACTGAAAGCACAGAGAACCCCAAAAGAACAACGGTAAATGTAGAAAGGGATGGAGATTGAATAACATCTTCTGTTTGGGGAAGTGCACGGGAAGGTCCCTTCAGTGGTGGTCTACCCCTTTGTCCTTCCCTTTACTCCTTGGAATTTCAAAGCTGCCAACACAACACCATAATGGCACCTGCTCATGGTCCAAATGTCTTCTGGTGGGGCAGGACTGAGACAAAGCAAGGGGTGTTGGCAGTGCTGCTTGTCTGAACCTTTACATGTGTCCTTTACCCACAGGGCAGAACACAGGGCACAGGGCTGCAGTGACTTGCCAGCTCAAGGAACGAGTAAGCCTTCTTCCCAAACTGAGGTCTGTATCTCTGAGTGGCAAGCAGTATGCAATTAGCTACTGGGCTGGAGGAAATAGACCTCTGTGACCTGTATCCTGAGCTGTAAATAATCTTCCCTGTGAATAATCCTTTAGAACGTAACCTGCTTTCACAGAAGTACTACTTAAGTCATGCTGTGCCTGTGTGATTAGTTCTGGGCTCCTGGGTCACTGCAGATTCAGACCTGAGTCTGCATACACATCTCAACTCCAGGAGTGAGCAGAAAAGAAATATTGTCCGTCTCAGCAGAGCCAGAGATCAGTAATTTCTATCAATCAGCAAACTCCTGGTCTTACGTAAATTGCAGGACTTTATTTAGATTCTGATACACATTAGATATTTAGGTGGGAAGCTGGGACAACTTATATGCCTAACTTACTAGCTGGGTGTCTAACACCTTTGCCAGTTTGGCCCATAGGCCCTATTGTTTGCTGACTAAAGACTTGTGGTGTAAATCCTTACCGCACTGTCCATGTAGGCTTCAGTCCAAATAATGTCATGGTCATGGTTGATGACCATGGGACGGCTGAGCACATGCAGGTATTCCATCACATTCTCCTGAACGTCCGCCAGTGTGGAGATCTGAGTGTAGTAGCCTTCATGGAGAAACAGATGAGAGAGAGTCACTCTGCTAACAAGTCTTCTGTATTTTTAAATGAGTGTCTGTGCAAAGCTAGAAAACTAGATGTCAAAGACTGTATCTACCCAGATGGTTTATCTGCTCTTTACAAAAAGTGCCCTGACATGCCTTGTATCCACAAGCTTCTGTGAACACATGTTTCTGTGCACACGTTTCTGTACAAATGTAGAGTTTCAAAGCATTGGCTCTGTTCTTCTCAAAATACTGGACCAGTGCTCAAGACCAGAGTCTTGATATAACCAGAATCACGCCAAGCAGATGTAAAATGTTGCTTTGGGTCTTTGGCAAAACCATTCACTAATCAGGGTGGCTTTGGTCCTGAAGGCCCAACATATGCAAACAAGGTATTCCACCAGACTACCCGCTTATCCTGGCCAATTTTATATTAAACTCAAACTCCCACTTCTCTTCCAGAATTTTTCCAGCATTCTACTCTTCAGTCTGCCTAGCTTTACACCCAAGGATGGTAACTACTTCTATCTACCCATTGGAAGCAGAATGTAAAAGTGCAAGTTACCTATTTCCAGAGCTTTGTTCCTGCAGATAGATCCGTAACAGTTAACAGTACAATAAGGAGTACAGGGGTAGAATGTTTTCAGATTATCAAGAGGTCCTCTAAACTAGCTGCTTAACTGGTTAGAAATGCTAACAGAGTGTAATGTCATGAGGACTCTTGTCCTGCTTCTCACCACATGGCACCAACTGGCTGTACTTGGTATGGGATGGAGTATGTCAGAGAGATGGAAAATTTTTGTTGTCACTAGGAAAACACTGCCCTGTGAAAGGGCTCATGATTTGATAAGCTTTGTGATGTGGAAACAGATTTAGTGTGCTTGAAAACAAGGACTTCAAGAGCTATACAATGTGTTGAAACAGAAGAACCAAAATCAGCGAGCCTTCTGCAGAGCTCAAGTCTGGTAAATGAGAATTCGAGTGCAAAGAGCATATTTTCATTCTCTGTTTGATTATTCAGGAGAATCCATTCTCACATTTTATGGTGAACCAACAGGACTGTGAATTCCCTGTCACTAATCTTACAGCTGAAAATGCAATTGGAAATCCAGGTTTCTGTTTCATCTAACAAAAACTAAAAATGTTATGTGTGATTCATAGCGCTAATAGACAAACGTTTGAGCCTTGAACATTCCCAGCTCACAGATATTCTGCAGGCCAGCAACTCTCGTCTGTCAATTATTTTCGGTAGCAAATGCACCCACACATTTCATAGTCTGCTGAAGTCGCTGCTCAGAGAGGAAAGGAGTCGATATACCTAGCTAGTCAGCCCCCAGCTTCAGTCTTCCCTTCCTTTCCCTGTTTGAGCAGGATACTGATGTAGCAAGAATCGCTGACTATCTCTAGGCACACGGAGGCCAAGTTACGCACAAACAGGGAAGCCTTCTCCTCCCACCAGCCTCTTCCATTACCCTTGCAGACTCTGATGAGGCTAACTGGATGTTTTAACTGGCCCCAAATGCATAGAGGTGACTCACCTACTCTGAATGAATTTTCCCACTCATGCCATTCAATGCCAGCTAGAGAGAATATTGGGTTTGGGGTGGGATTAACAAGCTATTCTGGTACCTGAGTGAAACCACCGGCACACAAAGAATTTGGCCAGGATATAGGAGTTAACCTGCAGACCTTGTGAAGAATGCTGTAAAAATCTTTAAAGAAGAGATGCTAGTTTGACATGCCAGCCAAAAGATGTCAGGCTTTCTGACAGAGTTTTAGACAGATTGTCAAAAGCCAGCAACTGGGATGCAATAAGCACAGGGACTTAGGTGGACTACGGCCAGCATGAATCTCAGTCATAGTGTCCCTTGGCACCGCGACAGGAAAATGTGGTGGCTCAGCACGGAGGACGTGTGTTAGTTGGACACAGGCACACTTCATGTGGACTAGCAGGGTCTGCTTTTTCCTTAGGTTGTCTTCCAGCCAAGGGCTCATGGGCCCCAGCTGTAGTGGGTAAGCCTAAATCCAGGGCCCTGTGTCTGCCGTGCATGCGCGATGTGCATGGGGGGGGGTTGGGGAACCGTTCCCATACAGCACCTTTGTTGTTGCAGGCGATCCATTTCACGTTGGGGGCAAAAGTGACCTCCCGTCCAATGAGGTAAGTGAAAACCCGGACCTGGGAACAAGAATGCAAAGACAGAAGAATTAGACTGTAATGTGCTACTAAATCTAAATGGCTGAGTTTTGGCATCCTGTTATACACTGCTGTGAATGCCTGTTTGTGGTGCATAGCAATAGCTCTGCCTTCACACAGAGACAGGAGCCTCTTGCACCATTTGTTTTGCATTTTGTGGGCTGGAACTTAATTTCCAATTACAATAAGCCCAGAAAGCCAAGTAGCACCCGGGATCATCTGAATAACAAGGCAGAAGTGCAAATTCTGTTTGATTTTATGATAGCAGCTCTGCCAGGCACTCAGCAACCACATGCAGAGAGGTTTATAGCTCACAGGAATCCTTTACCCAGGGGAACAGCTGGCCACATGAATCATTTAGAGAAAGCTTCACCATTTCTCTTGTGTTTGACCAACAACAAAAGAGCCAATCCTGAAATAAACTGCTTTAACAGCCCCATGCTCTGGTCTCTCACTAGGCTGCTTCTCCCTTTGTGCATTGCTGCTAGCTGGGATGAGGTAAACAAATAAATCAAGAGGGTTTAGGATGAGCCATGGGCTATTCCACTTTCACAGTCTGCTCTGCTAGTACAAGCCTGTAATCACAGACCTGAAAGTAAATAGGGCTGGAAGGCAGCTAGAGATATTGTCTGGGCCATTCCCCTGCTCAGTGTAACAACTGGTAATAGCCAAACCTTTCCCAAACAGGACCAATTATAAACAGACCTGGATGGAACTAAAATTCTTTACAAAAGTTGTTGTTTTTTGTTTTTTGTTTGTTTGTTTGTTTTTTTTTTTTTTTCCATTTAAAAATACTCGGCTCAGTCTTTACCATTTTATCAGGAGAATGTTTTGATTTCCCACACCTTTAGAAAACAAAGTGTATGGAAAAAAATATCTTCACTGACCTACACATATCCGTTTGTGATCCTACCGGCTCTAAACTCACTGCAGCAGGCTCCTGCCTGCCTGCTTTGTTTTGTGTTTACAGCTGGATGCACACGGGTATTGGAGGATGCGAATGCTCAGCTCTGCCCGACAGCCTGGCTCACGCTGTTCTCCTCCCACCATAGCAGGACAGCACTTTTCCTCACCCCTTTTTATTTATCACTTCCCAGACAAACCTTCCGATCTGGCCAGTTGTATTTTTCAAACACAGCTTCATAATCTTCCACTGCTCCGTCTGTGATCAGCATGATAGCTTGATTACATAAGCCTCCTTGACCAGCATCTCTGAACTACAGAGAGAGAGGAAGAGTATGTTATCTCAGCACAGGCAGTTTCTGTGTAATTGCAGCATATTTATTCATGGTGAGCCAGATCCTGACTTCCTCTTGCAAACCTCACACTGTGCTCAGAAAGAGCTCTGCTTAAATAAGGACTGTGTTTGGATGCTGCATGTAATTTTTTTATTTATTCAGCCCTGCCTAGTACATGTAGACACAGGAGACTTTACAGAAGTAAAATAATAAGGAGAAAATAAGTGCTATGGAGGAAGTGTGCGATTCCCTGCTGCCTCACATCTTGCACACAGTCACATTCGTTTGTGCAAAATGACTATAGACTGACCATAAACACAGGAATTCTGATTTGACAGCAATAACTGTCACTTTTTATGGCAGAAAATGTGAGAGGAGGGGGAAATCAGACTCATTATTTCAGGGTAAATCTATCAATCTGCCAAAAAATAGCAGAGAAGGGCAGTAGCACATGAAAAAAGAAGGCTATTGCCATCAGAGCTGAAATAGGTTATGAATGTGCCAGATAGAAAGGCCATACACAGTAACGAGAGATAACCCGTTATCTGTGCATAAGTGATATTTAAGGTAGAGTGGAAGTATGCTGGGACTCCGGTACAAACACTGAAGTGCTCCCAAAGACACAGGGAGAGGTGTTGAACGTGCGTGCTCTTACAGGGAAGCCAGACCCTGCTGGGTCAGCCAGGAAGACCAGGCTTCGAATGCCACTCGTCCAGGGCTCCCGCATGCAGAGCCCTCGGCTGCTGGTGCCCTCAGGTGCGCCGGCTCTGGAGATCCACGTGCCTTATGCAGCACCAACAGAGGTGTTGAATTATCAGTCACCAGAGGAGGTGGCAGGGGACATCAAGGCACAAAAATGAGCAGCGACTTTGCTGCGGCTCCTAGCTCGGGGTCAGTATGTGCTTCTCCTTGCACAAGCATCTCACCGCTTGTAGGCTCTGAGTAAGGAAAAGCCTAATCAACAAAGAAGGATACAGAAACTGGTGCAGGATGAAAAAAAAAAAAAAGTGTGGGAAGAGGAAAATATGAGAACTCTGCACAAGACTAATGAGAAGCAATGACATGAGATGGAGAGCATACAGGAGACTGAAGGATGACTAAGGTTATATCAAATATAGCAGCAATTTTAAACTGGAGAGGGTAGTTATGAGGAAAAAGGTATCCAAGTGGCAAGACTAATTGCATAAAATGAAAGCAAACACTGGATGGGAGAACAAGAGAACAGAGTGTGAACTGGGACTTTTTAGATGTTTTAGGGACCAATTCACAAATCCTTTCTGGTCTGGTAATGCTGTGTCAGAACAGAAGGCAAATGTCTTTACCAGCACGGGTGGTACTGTGGTTCCACTGCAGATTAACATGATAGCCATTGATACCTGGAAGCCAACTCCAAGTCCAGTTTTCCCTAGTCATTTCACCACTCTTACAATTACCTCTGTGGTTCACCCTTATTATGAAATTACCAGGTTCAGTGCTAATATCACCATAATATTTCCTTACACTGCCATTTATGATATCAGTCCTGCCTCCTTCAACATTACTCTTACTATCACTGAAGTAACCTGTTACTCGACTACAGTAAACGTGGATTCAACAGCTTCTGAACGACCACACATATGAACTCATCTCTCCCTGTTTCACGATAACCCCATTACTGGTATCACTGACCAGAATCAGTACAGATGATCGTGGGAGAGAAGGATGGTGTAACAGGGTCATTTGTAACTAGCTGTTCTCAGACAAGACATCCATGTGAATTACTGAATCAGGATGAGGTGGCTGGGCACGCTCCCCCTGGTTCATATCACCAGAGCAGTGCATTCAGAGGGGAGACAGACTGTACCTCTGCTGCTGTGGTCATGCCGACCCAGCAGTAGGGATCTCCCATGTCTTTCTCTACAGAGTCCTCAAGGTCTGACATTTCCAGTGGTCCTGAAAGCTTCTACACCTTGTACCACGGAAAAAAACCCCACCAGTGCCAGCTACAGGGTAATTGGAGCTCTGGGAAGAGTCAGAGCACATGTGCCCCCAGCTCAGCAAGGAGACTCGGGGCAAAGGCTGAGGGTGAGCAACAGGATGCTCTTCGGTGCAAACAAAAGGGGAAAAGCAGTTGACAGCTGCATGGGATTCTGCTGCAGACCATCAGGTAGGAAAAAGACAAGGCAGTCTCAAGGGAGCTATTCCTAGGACAGAGATGGACCGTGTGCAGATTAGCAGAGAGAACGGCTAGTGTGAGCATCCATTAGGCAGGCATAGGGTCACGATGGTACAGGATATGCTGTCAAAATGAGGTTCAGATCACAGACCCAGAAACCTTGTAGTTACAAAAGCAGCTTATTCCAGACTGTTGCAAGCTACAACATGTTTTGTTTAGATGATTATTAAATTAACTCTTAATTAAGGTCACCCACCATTTAATCAAACTACTTAAGACATCTCTTCATGTAGCTTACTTCAGAACTCATAATACTGAGACACTGAGAAATTAGATGCTATATCAGAACCACCAATCTCCTAATTACAGGAGTAGATGATATTTTCAACAGGGAAAATGAGATCATCAGTGTCATAGAAATAGAGATTGAAAAGACAGATTTAGAAAACAAATGAACAAGAGGTAATCCCTGATTTTTAGGTCCTTTTGTGGCTGGCTGCAGCTGTAGCAAATGATCTAACAGCATTCATATCAAGCTCTGAGCATAATTCCCTGCTCTGACTGAAGTCTTAGGACTGTGAAAGAAGGGGAGATGAGGAAGAAGATGTCTCCAGAACAGGCATCTGAAGAAATGCTGTTTAAACTGCGATCACTGAATGAGGATCGGAGCTATATATTCTCGTATAACTTCGGTCACATTGCCAGGGGTAACAGGCATGATCTGATTAATTCAGGGTCATAGTCTCTTGTACTCTCGTTTGCCCGTTGCCGTTTACTTTGCAGTTATAGCTCGGCACAGAGTTGCTAGTAAAGCAATAGGAACACCAGCACAGCTCAGCGATGCGCAGGCACACGTTCTGATTATACACACATCTGGCTGGATGACTGAGCAGGCCCCTCTCCATCTCCTCCTGCCCCATTCTTATGCAGACCTGCATCCAGAATTACTGAAAATTCTAACTTAGTGGAAAGTGTCTCATGGGTAGAATGTTAGCAGTAGAGAAGAAAACAAAGCCAGTGAAGAAAAATCGAGAGATGGCATTAAGCAAAATGGCATAAACTCGCAAACAGGAAATCCTGAGCTTTGCATATCCTGAAAAATATGCTGCAGAACCCAGGTCCATAAAAATGCAAGTGGAATCAAGAAAAGATGTATAAATGTTCAGAGAAGACACAAGAAAGGGAGTAAAAATACTATGTTGCCAGATGATAAAAAACAGAAGTGGCCAGGAATAGATTCTTTATAGCCTCCATACTTCATCATCAAAAGGACAATATTGTAACGACTGGGTGCACACTGAAGTGATAAGAAACAAAGAAAAGAATGAATGAATTACAGGCAGAGTCACAAAGTGGTAGGATTAAACAAGTTAATTGAAAGCATTTAAATAATCTGTGCTCAGCAGGAAGGGAAAGAATTGCAGGTGGTGTTGCTGAACTACTTGCTTCATGGGCTGAGACCTGACTGGAACTGTATGAGATCCCAGAGGACAAAGAGGGAATCAACAGAAAACATTTGTTACAAGAAGGGAGGAAACTGGATGGGTTAATTGTCCTTAAACATCTAGCACATTGCTAGAAATATTAGTAACCTAGTCCTCTTGTGAGTTCTCAGATGAAATGCTTCCCCACACAGGTGGGGCATAAGAGGCCACAGGCTCCTTTGATTGCTCACATCAGCAGACTGGTTCCTTCATTTTATGACAGCAGTTTGCTCAAGATACACAGAATTTTACATCTCACTGAAATCCAGTTTGCTACCAGATTCACCATTTTTTTCACCTATAGCCATTTTGGACAGACCTGTTCATGACTGACCTCAAAGTTTATGTACTTTCTGAGTTCAGCAGTGAGGCAAGGCACCATTAAACCTGCTTGGTGTTAAGAAGAGACATCATTCCAAGGTGGCCTCAGAGAGCAAAACTTGGGGCTTCTTTTCCTCCACAGGGTCAGAAGAACGTCAGCTTTCACAATACCTACTTTGAGCAGATCCTGAAAAAGGAGGACCTATAAAAGTCACAGATTTTGTACTATCTAATTCTAAAAGATTCACATATAACAAATATATGAATATATGTATGCACATGTCACTGTCTTGGGATTAGGGGTGTGTGTTTGCATATGCATATATGTACACACATATATTTGGCATGTCTATAAAAATATATATAAATACCTTTACAATTGATGTACATTGGAAAGGAGAGTCAGAGGCTCAAATACTGAACAGGAGGCTGAATACTGGCTGCAGAAGAATGCCACAGAGGCAGATCAGATGGATAAGAATTAACAATGTAACAGTGTCTGAAGAAAGAGCTGTTGTCCTACCTTGTGTTAAGAGGACTATGGTGTGTAAAACAAGGAAGGTAATTATTCTGCTCTGCTTAGCACTTGATAGCTCTCAGCTGCAGCACTTACATACTGTCCGGAGGATGGTGTTTCAGGGAAGGCAAGCAGCCTGGAAGCAGCTGTGAGCAGAGCAGCAGCCAGAACAAAGGGGTATAAATCCTACAGTAAAAGGGCGAAAGGACAAGACGTGCCAATTTTGTTGAAAGAAAGAAGAAAAGATAGCAGTGAGATAGACTATAACTTGATAAACAAGAAAGGAGTTCAAAAGCTTGAGCTTGATGCCTGAGAATAGTGAAGTGCTTTATAAATGTATGTTTAAGACTATGGCTTGCTGGGATGCATATTTTACTGAAACCACTTGGTGTGTAGCTAAATTGAAATAGAGAGTTTAAGTGGTTTATTGAGCATGGCAGAGAGGGGCAGGGGAGGCTCTGGCTAACTGTTCTCCTGAAGCTGTTCTGCAAATTGCGTCATGGATTAAAATATGCCCTGTCTACCTCAGAACATAATGGAGGAAAACAAAGGCAGGGAGAGATTGTGCTCTTCTTCAACCTCTTTCTGCTACTCATACCACATTGAGTAGGTCTCTGCTGGGCTATTAATTCTGTGAGCAATTGGACCAAGGAAAATTACCAGGGAAATTTTCCAGTCACTTTCATTACAGATATTATTACTGGTTGTCTATTGTAATCAGCAAAGCCTGTTTCATCAGTGTGATGTAGCAGTTTTCATTTTCATTCTCTTGCGTATGCTCCTGTGAACAATAACAGGACAGTCTGTGAGGAATGGCTACGATTACAAGCTGAGAATGTGAATTTTGTCTGACGGGAAGGGGGGTGGCCAATTCCAAAGTTCCCCCTTCTCCCACCTGCATGACTGCAGCGGCACAGATTTGTCTCAGGGCACACTGATGGAAACTCTTTTCCTCCCTTATTACCAATATAGATCTAAGAAGATCTACGAGAGGATTTCAGAGAGTCCCAAAAGCATATGAGCACTTGGCAGGTGGTACCCGTTTGCCTTAAGCTGCGGTACTTGCAGAGCTTGGGGTCCTCTGCCTGGTGGTATCAAGGCACCCTCTAGATAAGCCCTTACCAGGGAAGCTCCACTTTGGGGAAGGTTGCTGCAGGACAACAGGCACGTTTCTACACTTGCATGCCTATTGTGCAGCCTCTGGCACTGCTGCATGTGCGTGTGCCCTGAGACACAATCTCTCTCTCTCTTCTGAACGTCACCAGGCAGAGAGAAATCCTGGGATGAAGCTGCAAAGTGACTTGCAGGAGGACCCGCAGGCCTCCTGCCGCCGGTGCCGCTGTCCCACAGCTGGCTGTGAACGAGGCTCCCAGCTGATGGCTTCGGTGACCTCGGGCTGAGGTCCCATTTTGCTAAAGAAGAGGCAATCGTGGTCCATGCTACAGTGAATGGTATGCTGCAAGAAAGCTGCAACTGGTGTTACTGGGAAAGGTAAAGCTGGGTGGAAGAGATACAGGGCCCTGTTTTACACCTTTGACAACAGAGTTACTGTTTCTGAACTCCTGTTTCATGGAGAGCAGTTTCCAAAATGCAGAGAAGAATGACATCAGCAGTCACTGGGATAACAACCACCCTTCCTCATCTGCAGATGCTCAAATGCCTGACTCAGTTGCCCTCTCCCCAGATCCGAGGTGATAACCAAAGGTATGAGACACACAGCACCTTATCTTGCGAGTGAATAATATCAGAAGGCTTTATCAGCACTGGGTGCTGTACTGTTTAAGAAGAATCTCAGAGCTGTTTTGAGCACATTGGCCAAAGAAGAATCAACAAGGATCAAGATAAATGAAGGCTACTTAAACTGTTGACAGCATTTTTGATGCCAAATAGAGAGGAAAAAAATATTTTCTCTACCTGGCAAAGAGCTGCTTCTCTATTACTGCAGTGGAGTTATGTTAGTCCACTGAGTTGCATGGACACCACTCTCTCTCTGGAAGTATTTTTGGTCCAGCTATGTCAGTAGAGGACAGGTTTTTTTTTTCGTCTCAGCTGTTCCACCATGTACTTTCTATTTCCTATGGGCATATCTGGCTCAAAGTATGCAGAGTTTCATAAAGGTCCTGCCTCCTGGAGGCTTGAGGATTGCCTAGTCTGCTGGGTAAGCCATGCCTGCCAGAAAGGAGGTGTTAGGTTTCCTCATTAGTGGAACCAGACTGGTTTTGGTGTCTGTGCCTGGCATGACAGGCTGCTATTTCAGCTGGGGCAATCAGGCTTTCTTTAGGGTTATGCTCCATTATTCTCCACTGAGACCTTCAAAGCTGTGCTGATTGAGAAAGTCTGCAGTTGTACTGCACTGGGCTTCTTTAATCTCTTGTCACTGTACATAACCAGTGCTACATTAGATACTAAGAAATAATTTTTCCTCTGGAGGAAAAATATTTAAATATTCTTACTTGCACAACACAGGCCTACATAGGCTCTAGATCTTTGGTTTTAAAGATAAAATTAATTTTGTCATAAAATGCAAGGATACATGTGGATGAATCTAGCAGGCATCTAGTCCATGTAATTGTTCTAGGTTTATACCATTACTGCTTCCCTGGTCATCTCAGTAACTATCTTCCTCCAAAGATGTTGAACCATTCTTACCAGGAGTGCTACCAGACTACTTGCCGCAATGCCAAGGCCACATTCATCTCAGGTTGCCATTAAAACCATTATGCTTCTATTACCACTGACAAGTCAGCTCAGCTACCACCACCCCTGGGTTCAGTCTGATCATGCTTGCACTGGCATAACTTAGGAACAACATTACCATAACCAACAAACTTTTAGTTTGTAAGAATGGAGAATCCTTCTCAGGGTGTCAATACCTCTAGCACACTATCTTGAACACCAACACCATCATTATGGCCACTAGCATCTTACTGCGTACAGATTTTTGTCAGCACCAAAGTCATTGGCATCCTTAGGCCAACCCCACTATAGACAGTGCCATGAGGAGGTGGGGGTGTTCAGCTGGTTCTTGGTCCTTTTTTGTAACATTCCGTAAGAAACAGAGTTAAGTTGTGTGTTTACCTCTAGGCTACCGAAGTCCCGGTTGTTCACATAAGTCAATGAATCATTTATGATTCTTATCACAGGACATGATCAGACCGACTGATTCATTCTCCTGTACCTGTGATTTCTTCCCCAAGCCTGATACTCAGCAAAGTGACACTGAAATAAATCTGAAGCCTAAGAATGGCCTTCATGCCTTCATCATCATCGACTTACCAACGCTCACTAATAACATTACTTATGACCAGAATTGATGGCCTCAGCTGATGGGTTATATTTTCTTGCCATCATCTATAACCAAGGTGCCTGGGTGATGCCCAGTTGTGGCGCTCACGAAGGAAACACTCATGGTGCCACAGCCTTGCTGGATCCTGATCCCTCCTGGGCAGGCATAGGCAGCCCCAGGGCATCACACACAAACCAACGCCTCCCCAAATTTGGGTCACCCCTGCACACTGCTTGTTGCAAATTTGAGGCTCGTGAGATCAGCTCATGCCACCTCCCACCTGCAGCACCTGTAAAGGCTGTGCTAAGTCATGAGATGTAGAAGAGAAAGTAGGGTTGGGCAGGGACACTTGTGTCCAACAAGCATCGACACTGAATCTCTTACCTCCCTTAGGATTTTGAAGGACTCTGCCAAAGCCTTGTTCACAGTCCCCACTCCTTTTGCCTGCAGTTCATCCACCAGCTGCTTGAAGTGCTGGCAAGAAGAGAGGGGAAAAAAAGGCAGCAGTGAGTTGAAGGCAGGATGCTCCCTTCAACCGGGGAAGGAAGGAGTAACCTGGAAAAGTCTGTGCCGTGAGGCTCCTGATCCTTCGCCACTGCTGGCAGGGCAGGGCAGGGCAGCACAGTGATGGATGGAGGTGGGAAAGTCAAATGGCTGATCCACCGGCGGTGCCATCATGCTGCACCTTTACCCACACAGCCACAACAGGGCTGCATTTCTCAGCTGTGAATCATTGACAGTCCATGAAACATCATGCAAGGGACAGAACTATTAGAAATCAGATTTTCTCTTATCCACCCTTTCAGAAAAAAAACAAAACAAAACAAAAAAACCCCCAAACAGTCCTGTGCATGCAAGATCAACAAGATTGGGAAAAATAAAAAATTTCAATGCTTGTCTACCACTTAGGAGGCATTGATCTGGTTTTAAACGAAACCCTCAGAGCGCTTTCCACGAAATAGTGTCCAAAAGGCTTGGGGATCCTTCAGGAAACCCTGCAGGAGACATCACCCTCTGGAGTAATACTCTGTGACCCAGGGCTAATCTGGGAAAGAAAACTGGAGAGAAATCCGGTTGTTGAAGACATGCAGGGATGTGCCACCTCTGTGGTATTAATATAGAGAGAAAAAGGAAGAAAAAAGCCAAACAGTAACGAGAGCTAAACATGAAAGTCAGCCTAGAGGGTGGTGTAGCAGCTGGACACAGGCTGACCACTTTGGGGCTGCAGAGCCCTCCTGATGAAGGGTTTTGCTGCTCTGATCCAGAGGAAGCTTGTGAGCAGACTACCCTGGCAAAGGATCGGGCCAGGCTGAGCACCTTTCCTGCATTTAACAGGAAAAGGCTGATTTTTTTTTCTCCTTTCTGAAGGCTGAGGATGTGGGATTTCAAAGACGGAGAACCTTTGCCCTCAGCACGCTGTTTCTCCGCAGCAGTCTGGGCTGGGGCCACTTGTGCCCTGGCAGCACGGGGACACGGGGGAAGCAGGTTGCTGCTGTTTAACTAGCCAGCTGACCCCATGTCACAGAGGCTTCGTGTAAGTAAAGGCTAACCATGGAGCCAGCGTACACCACTGAAGTGGTGCTTGTTTCTGAAATGCAAACCCTTCTGGGAGATGGTTGTTTCTTGTCCCTGGAGTTTCATATCACAGCATCTTAACCCCATGTACTTCTAACATTAAGAGAACTACCTGAATAACATTGATAGGAGCCTGGTACTCACCTCTCTGTTATCTCTGTCTGCTTGGACCAGGATACCCTTAAAACAGGGCTCGATAAAATGAACATAATCATTGTACTGAAAAGAGAAAATGAAAAGAAAGGGTTTGTAATGGGAGAAAATTCACAAAATGGGTTCATGTCCTAGGTGGATGTTCAGAAAACAGTATGGAGCATTGTGCCATTTCATACATATTTCCCTTAAGAAATTTTTGTTTGTAGTGATCATGGCAAATTACAATTTTGATAAATTTTATATTTGTTTAAATAATGTGTTAATTATGGTGCTTTGCTGAGTTCTATCTGGGCATACCTACACATACAAAGTTACTTTTTTTTCCCCCCCCACTCACACTGTAGAGATTTTCTCTGCACTCTATTAGCTTGTGCCCCTGGCCTTGTTTCTAGCACTATTTGCACATATTTTTGAGTTCTGGAGAGTTTGTGAGTCCCCAGTCACAAGCTGAACCTTGCAAGTGGTTTTGTAGCCTAATGTCTGATGCCTCTGGCGTATGGCTGAACAATAGCATATCAAGTTACCACACATCCACAGAACTGTGATAATTAGTGGGGTGTATGCTTCCAGCCTGATACATATGTGAGGTAAAACACGCCACTGTAAACCTTTTCCTGCAAGGTTCAGAAGAGCATAATTCATCAGAGCATGGCTAAGAAGCCACGGATGCTCAGCTGATAATAAGCGCTTAGATCAGGCTATAATATGTTTAAGCAGTAGGTTCTTGGTGTGAGGACAGTAAAGGAATATATTACATGCTCTTTCTGGGATTGTTTTTGAAGAACAGATGATATTTCAATCACCTTAATGACTTCCCTCCGTTTTTCTGCCAACACTGTTCACTATTCCATCTATCCAGCCATATAAAGACAGAGCTGTCACCACTGAAGTTTCTAAGTATCTTTACACAATAAAAAGCTATCAACAAAAAGTAGACTGTGCCCTGGAAAACTTTTACAGAAAGGACCTTGGGGAAGGAGGTGGTGCTTGAATTAACTTTGAAAATTAGGAGATGAGTAGCCATTTGCCTTTAACCTGACACAAACTCCCTCATGGATCATGGAAAAGTTTTGCTTTCTGTGGTCAGTGGTGCTGGCTCTCTGTGAGTAACTGGCCCATCCTTATCCTGGCTGTGGCTTAAAAAGAGAGGGAGTAACACTGAGGCGACCTGACCAAACTCCATGCAGGCCTGTGCAGATTGACTCTCAACTGGATTGCAGCCTTGCAGGATGATGGTGCACAAAGAGACATATGGTGGTAATTTTCTAGCCTGGAAACATTATCCTGAGGATTATACTACTGCTGGACCCAAACACAGTATTATGCTATGTTATGCTAGATGAATTTATTAGCTAAGGTCCCTGTTAGCTCAGGTACCTCTCTAGAGCACTTTGTTATCTATTGCAGTCACATCCTTAAGTAAGCAAAAAGATGCAGCTGATATCCTCCATAGAGGGGGGTGAGATGACGTAGCAGCCACCCTGCTGACCACACGAAGCTGACTTTCCAAGGGTAATGGGTTTTAATTCCCCACCCTACATAGGTACTAAGTATTGTGGTTATGCCACTGTAATGCCTGTACTTTGCTAAGGGGACTGAAGGGTTGATAGGAGGCACAAGGAAGACAACTCAGCACTGGAAATGGGACATACTTACTGCAATGATGTTGACGAAGTCATTTTCTCCCAGAGTATCTAAAATGGTGTCAATGGTGTGTTTGGCAATGGTCATCCGCAGGCCCTTCATGCTCCCACTGACATCCACAATGATGACAATGTCCTTGGGGGAGGTGGCTGCTTGGATGTACCTTCATAAAAAGAACACGAGGAAGCAGGGTGAGCGTACGGGGAGGAGGAATGGTGAGCTTGCTGCTGTCACTGCTAGCCGCGGCATAACATGCACCACAAGCACAGATATCTAGCAGGGTCAGGCTGGGTCCCTTCCTACCAGCCTGCCTCTCCCACGGGCCCCAGCATCAAACTTCCCGCACTGGCAAGTCCTGGGTCTGGTGCAGACACATGTCCAGATTCAGCTGAGAGCTGAATTGCTAAAGCCTCCTTTAGCCATGCTGAGTAAATGACCTGCATTTCTGCAGTCTGAACAGCCCCGTCCCTCCGGTCACAGAATTATAAGGAGGTTGGGACAGAGAAAGGACACGCTGGTGGCAATTTCCATGTGGCACGTGTTAGATGCCATATGGAATACTGGCGCTGGCAGGCGATAGGGCTTCTTAACCCAGTATTGCCTTCATTATGTACCCTTCATCTCTTGCAGGAGCGGCACGGGGCAGTAGCTGCTGATCAGCCTCTCATCAGGGGGTAACCTTGGGAAAGAGGGAGAGGGGAAGACTGAAAGTTGCTTTGGCCAAGTCTCTTCAAAACTCTTACCAGCCACGATTCCTACAGTCAAAGGAGACGACTCCATTCTCATCTGGTAACCACTTTATTCCTGAAGGGAGCAGCAAAAGGAGCAATCAACACACATAGACAGGCAGGCATCTGCTCCCCAGGCACCCCCAATTCCGTTCTCTGCTGAGACCCAACTACCCCATGGAGGCATACAAGTCTGGCCAGCAGTAGCAGCAGCCATTCTTCAGAAATACAAGCAGAGTTGTGTGGTCTTCAGCAGTTCTCAGTAAAGAGTTTATTAAATTTATATTAAAAAATATAATTGGCATAGTCTCTTTGAATTTCGGGAGCAATTGCACTTACTCTGAACTTTTTGCCACTTCAATGTAGTTGTCAACAACTTCTTTTGCTCCCCAAGGATGGCTGAGAGCATAAAAAAGCAGCAGCACTGACAAGAATGTGTCCCAGATTCCCTGCTAAAGGCTCTGTTCACAGTCATCCTAGACTCATAGAATGGTTTGGTTTAGAAGGGACCTTAAAGACCATCTAGTTCCAACCCCTCTGCTGTGGGCAAGGACAACTTCTACTAGACCAGGTTTCTCAAAGCCCCGTCCAACCTGGCCTTGAACAATTCCAGGGAGGGGGCAGCCACAGCTTCTCTGGGAAACCCATTCCAGTGTCTCAACACCCTCATAGTGCAGAATTTGTTCTTATATCTAGTCTAAATCTACCCTCTTTCAATTTAAAGCCATTATCCCTTGTCCTGTCACTATATGCCTCGTAAAAAGTCCCTCTCTAGCTTTTTTTGTAGGCCCCCTGTACGTACTGGAAGGCCGCTATAAGGTCTCCCCAGAGTCTTCTCTTCTCCAGGCTGAACAACCCAAACTCTTTCAGCCTGCCCTCATAAGGGAGATGCTCCAGCTCCCTGGTCATCTTTGTGGCCTCCTCTGGACATGCTCCAACAGGTCCGTGTCCTTCTTATGATGGGGGCCCCAGAGCTGAATGCAGTACTTCAGGTGGGGTATCACAACAGTAGAGTAGCGGGGGAAAATCACCTCCCTCAACCTGCTGGTCATGCTTCTTTTGATGCAGCCAAGGGCATGGTTGGCTTTCTGAGTTGCAAATGCACATTTCTGGGCCACGGTGAGCTTCTCATAAACCAACAACCCCAAGTCCTTCTCCTCAGGTCTGCTCTCAGTCCACTCATCACCCAGCCTGTATTTGTGCTGTATTGTGTCATCTCTGCTTTCCCTTTCCACAACATGTGACAGGTCACAGAACAAGGGCATGCAGCCATCTGATGAAGGGGTCACCAGGCCAAGCTACTACTGCAGAGGATCTCATGGATTCCTCTGAACACGGAGCCTCCCTCTTGTACCATGACCTTACATGCTGCTTGCAGCTGGCAAGTGGACAAGTCCGCCTGACCAGCTGCATCTGCCATATGTGGCCCCAGAGATGGAGAGAGGCTGTGGCTGCCACCAAAACCACAGGGGACCATGAGGCAGAGAGCCCTCCTGCAGCCTCTGTACCCTGCCTGTGAGATTCACACGTCCTGCCGTGGTGTTTTGTGAGCTTTTTGGAAGGTGGTCTGCCCAAGGTACATCCCTGCAAGCACGCTTCTCTGGGGTTGCAGGGGCAACATGCCTGGGAGGCTGGTCCACGTGGGAAAAAAGGAGTTTATGCCTGCCATGGACACTGTTCCTTCAGTCTAAATAACAGCAGCCCATGCACCGAATATATTGTGCACTACACACTGTCCTTCATGAGGCCATACTATCCCCAAGCTTCCCAGATTGGGCTTTTTCATGGCAAGGACCCTGTCCTGCAAGACTATTGTGCTGCACTGAAAGAGCAAAGCCAATCTCTGCTCTTTTACCTGGGTAGAGCCTGAAGAATCCAGTGGAGCTGCCAAAGTACTGCCAGGTCAGCGTGGGATCCCTTTCGAAGTTGTCCACAAAAATAGGATTCAAGGCTTCTGACATGTAAACGCCATTCAGGATGTCAGGGTCTGTGGGGGAAAGAATAGAAAATGGGGAAAAAAAGTGTGTAAAAGAAGGGAGGATACACCTCCCCCAATGGAGGAGGGGAATGGGAACAAAGGCAGTCCTAAGAGGAATGCAGCCTGGTCCAAACCTTTGAGATTGGGCAGGGGATTGGATGTATCGTTCAAGTAAATCCTGGCCATTACAGGTGATCTCAGCTTGGTCATACGCTATTATCCCCATTTCTCTTTCCAGATGTGTCTGCCCTAGGGTGTTACATCTGGTTGGAAGAGGACTCTGAGACACCCAGGAAAACCAGCACTGTGCTGAGCACAACTGACACACCACGCAGGCAGGATGCAGCTGCTACCTAAGAGGGGACATTTGTCTGTTGTAAGGCAACTGCCTGATTCACTGCTAAGTGGAACAGCCTTTCTGCAAAAAGTGTTTAAATTTATTCTAGATGTAATTTCCTAAGACAGAGGAGCTCTAGGATTTACATGCCATTTATCTCTCTCCTCTTTTTCCCAACAATTCTCTATTTTTAATTTGTCTGTCCTTTCTTTCACCAAGCCTGAGCTGTCCTCCCCTGCCCCTGATCTCATCAGAATCAATAGTGAGTTTCAGACTTGCAAGAACTCATAAGAGGCAGCATATATTTGGTGTCTGTGTTGACTCATTGCCTCAGGAGACCAAACAGAGCAGCAGCAATAGAAACAGGAAATTATAAGAAACCGGTCATTGTAGGATTAACTGTATTAATGTTGAAAGGAATGGGGCTTTGACCTACCATTTCCTGTTTAGTTGCTTTACTAAAGGTGGTTTTGGTCAAAATGGGGGAAAAATTGAACTCTGACTCCCCAGTAATGAGGCCAAAGTAACTCCTGCAGGAAGGGAGCCAGAAGAGCTGTGGAGAGCCAGGATTGCTGCTGTTTGCAAGAGAGGGAGTGAGTACTTCCAGGCGCTGCTCCCGGGAGGAGGCCCGGGCATGGAAGCAGCCCTCCTCCTCCTCCATCTCCTGCTCATCCTGCAGCCACAGCCAGAGCAGCTGGATGGTTTGTGTCAAGCTATACAGGCAAGAAATCAGCTGGCTGGGCAGTGCCTCTCTGCTGTCTCTGGCAGCGGCCGTTTGTCCATCCCTTTCTGTGTGCTGCTGTACGCAGCAGCCCACTTTGTGTAGCTGGGCTATAGCTACCCACAGCCAGCTCTGCTGGTGGCTCTATTGTGAGCAAAATGTTGGTGTCTGGGCCTGTCAGACCAGATGGAATTAATTTAAAATCATGGGAGAAATAGAACTCCTTCTATTGTCCCTCCAAATAACGTAGCAGTTGTGAGCACAGTCACCAGCGCCTGCCCCATCTGATCCTGAAGACTCTAAATGAGCTCCATCTATGAGAAGTAATGGCGCTTTTTTTTCTTGCCAAAACGTATGCAAGAGGAAGAGCTGATGGGGAGGCAGGGAAGGAGCCAGTTCAGGCAGCTTTGAATGTTGGCCAAAAAAGAGCAGTAAACTTAGAACAATCACAGCTGGTGTCTCTGCAGAATTGGCAGTATGCTGACCAGCCTGGGGATGGACTGGTTTCTGGTGTGTAGCTAGAGTGGTGTGAATGTGCAGGGGGAGAGGACACAGTCCAGGGACTGGATGAGGCCATGTGAGCCTGGGTACCTCCCTGGGGCCCTGCAGCTGCCAAAGTACCACCAAAGGCTTGCTGAGAACAGAAAATAGCCCAAAACAGTCACATCCTGGTAGCAGTTGTGAAATACACTCAGTCATTGATGTATGTGCTCACTGGGAAATAAGCGTGTCCCCATGAGGCATTAGTGCCTCATAATACAAAGGTACTTTGGGTCTAAATTCTCAGCTGAAATCAATGAGATCCTTGACAAACAAAGACCTTGATGTATCTGACCCTTTGTACAGAGTAACAATTGTCAGTAAATTCACACCACAGTTTGTCTCACAGTATCTTTGATTGGGTAGATGAACCATAGGAGACTATACTGCCTGACTAAGATGGAGGACTATCCATCATTAGAATTCCTCTAAGAGCAGATTATACCTAAGCCCTGTCATAGTGACAGACTACAAAACAGACATGAATGTGCCTTGGGACACTACCTTTCCAGCCCTGTTTTGTTTTCTGTAAGTTATTTTTTTCTATTCCCATCCTTTCTTTCAGTATTATTACTAGTAGTTTACACAGCAACTTACTAGTAGCAAGCAAGTAGAGGCCAGTAGAGGCCCTTACCTTTGTTGTAGACATTGGTGGGGAGCTGGATATTACTGTATGTTGTGTTCACCAGCAGGTTATTGAAATGCTCATTTGGCTCTAAAATGAATTCATCTCCAAGCTCCACATAATTGTCATTTTCATCCTTCTCATTAATCAGGAGAGAGTTGTAGTAATCAAACTGTTGATGAAGACAACAGACAAGAGAAAGACAACAAGAGAGAAAACGACAGACTATTACCAGTACTGCATGAAAAAAAACCCCTTCCTTAAAACAGAAAAGGGACATCTGGAGAATCTAGGCTTCAGATAGGATCAAGACGAGCAGCAAACAAGATCCATTACCTACTGAAAAGTGTCAAGCTGCCCAAGTGATGGTTTCTGCCCAGTTTCTTACTGTCAGATGTCCACATGACTGAAATCATGGTCATAACCACCAGCAGAAGAGCCACCTGAGAGTAAAGGGACACAGTGGCAGACTCCTGTGGTCCCTCAGAGGTATTTAAGCGACTAGACAGAGAGGTGGGGTGTCTCACTGGGTTTAGATCCCAGTTTTGCTACAGGGCATGTCAATGCTGAACTTACTTGCCCTGTCTCTACAGCTGTCATTTACTAGAGTTAACTCCTGATGTACATCCAGTCAGGATTATCCCCTCACTCTGTCACTCCAAGCAGTAGGCAAGGAGCAAAGGATAGAGCAGAAGGTGCTCAAAGACAACACAGTTTTCCCTCTGTGAAGGCCACTGCAGATTTAGCATCCACTGTCACTTTAGTATCTTCAGGACACTCTTCACCCTTGGATAACAGATGTTTTTAAGATGTTCTTGTTGACTTTATCTGAGGGCAGAGGTTATTTAAGGATTTATGTTCAAACACTAACAGTACTCAGGGGGTGTGAACTGTGTGTGCAAATACAGGGTCATATACCTCAACTCACCTGTGACCCTTACTGTGAATGGAGCTGATCCAACTAGCATGACTTTAACATGAGTCTTAAATAAAGAGGTAGGAGAGGTGAAATTGGTAGTTTGATTCAAAGAAGCATTTTCATTCCTATCCTTTCCTAGCATGAAGAGGTGTACGTGCAGGGATAGCCTGTACTTCTGCTAAGCACTCTGTGCTCGTACTGTAGACAGTGGACTTCCTTCATCAGAGTTTTCACTCCAGTTCCCTTCACCAGCAATAATCCCATAGCTTGGCTACAGTTTTTAACAGAAAGCCAATTGTCCGAATTGCTTGGACAGCACCAAGCTTTCACCTAAAAGGGTGTCTTGACAAGCAGGTGTCTGCAGGGTAAAGATGATGGGAGCTGTTGAGAGAGATGGTGAGAAACTCAGCTGATAGGAATTAACAGTTTGTTGTGGGTATTTGTAGCAGCATCCTCCTCACTGCTCATACATAATTTTTAGCTCATTTTCCAGTCAAGTAACCCACAAACCACCAGCTAGTTTGGACTAACACATCACATAATGACAGAGTTGGTGTGCAGTAAATGTAATGCCAATAACATCACGTAACCCAGTGTCTTCCTAAATCCTTCCCCTCCTGAAGCCAGAGCGACTGACCTCCTAGGTGTTACTAGGTCTGGGATCTGCCAAGGGAGTTGATTAATCACACTGGTTTCTAGACAAGTTGAGTGTCCTGCAGACAAGGAAACTCCTGTCCTGTCTATGAGTCTGAAGTGTCTGGGTGCTGCTAGGCCTGCCTTTTGGCTTGTCTCTCTGAGGAATTATGTCATATTTTGTCACTGACAGGGATAAACTTACCTCCAGTGAGGAGTTGTACTCATGGTTCAGATCTGCATCTTCTGCTGCTTCCACCAACCTCTAATGCAAGCACACAGAAAAAAAAGATGAGGGGATGCTGTAGAAAGCCCTCCAGAAGCTCTTCCAGCTGTATCAGCCATTCACATGGTTAGTGAAAAGACACAGGACTACATCCTTCACCACAACAGTCAAAGGGCTATAAACTTGCCTTTTTCCCTCCTTTTTCTGCTGATCTGTCATTCTGTGCTGCAACTTTACAGCTTGGAAGGCATATTCACAGCTATTTATTGCCAAGTATATTCACACCTACTTACTCCAGAGTCCCTAGTGAACCCCTGAGCAATCTTAGATATCACAGGACATATACAAACAGAAACATGTCCATTTACAGAAACAACAGACAGAGATTAAGTTGCATTTTCCATGAACCCTTCCAAAAAGCCATGGGAAAGGCATTTCAGACCCAGCCTGATGTCAGGATCTCATCAAAGGAAAAGGCCTTGTGGGAGTCTCAGTCTGGTATTGTTACCAAGACAAAGACCATGACTTGATTTTGTAAAGAGTTGAGTGATGCTGTGGCCATTTATAAGCTCTTACCATTATGGAAGGGAATATAATCAACTAGTATTCTCCAATATATTGCTTCAGGGCACTAATTCTCAATTGGTACAGACTGGGAAGGAATCCAGCTAAACATGTACGTGTTTTCAGAGTTGCACAACCAGCAACAGTCTCAGCAAAACTACTTTTTGCTCCTTTACAAAGGATAAAGCAATCCAAAGACTGGAAAAGTCTGGCTATGAATTTGATATTATGGGCCAAAGCTCTGGGTCTAAATATGCCCACATTTCACTTTGAGATTCAAATGATGTGTTTCTGGATTACTTTTCCACATTAGACTCCTTAAACAGTCAAGGCTCTGACTACAGAAACATGCTTTTCATAGTGGGTAAATATAAGGGAATATGATAGATCCTTAGATGCAAGAAGTAAGAGGGGCCATAACGATTACCTGCTCTGTCTGATCTCCAACACACCAACAGCTAAAGACCTCTTGCCACCTCCTCCACACTTCCCCATGTACACAGCTGGAAATCCAAGCAGCTTTCTTGCAGCTTGTGTTCAGGGGCTGCAAGGAATTTCCCTTGAGCCACACACACAGCTGAAACAAGCTACTAGCCTTTAATGGCCAGAGTGCATTATGCAAGGATGAACTTTATTTTAATTTGTGAGAGGTTTTTTTCTCTTTAAACAGCTCTTTTCTCCTAAAAGAGTGTTCATTCCCTCATATTTATTCCTAGACGTTGTTTTTATCTTATTTCATACTTTGGGCTGAGGGAGAAGCCAGCATTCCCTTGTCTGAACGCCCACATCCTCCCACCAGCGTCTACTTAAAGCTCAGACTGAACAGCCAGCTGCACCAACAGGCATTTGGTTGGGCAAGGGAGTCCTCATGCAACCCCTGCGCCCACACGCTCCTGGTACAGTCAGGAGGCCTGTGTCTCCCGCTCTGGGGCTGACAGGATGGGACTTCCTTCCCATAGGCCCCATAGTCATACCTCAACAGCTTCGACCTTCCTGAGGAGCATGCTTTCCATCTGCTCCGAGAACTTCTTCACCAGCTCCAAGCCATCCACCTCTTTGATCTTCAGAGTTGGCTCCACATCTTTGTACTTCTACCCAAGGAAAAGCAGAAAATCCTGCTGAGCAGGAGGCTCATAAGGAGAAGGGTGAATCTGTTATTGTTAGCTGGGTATTGTCTTTCGTGAAGAAAGATATGTTGAAAGAATGGGTCTGATTTATCACCTTCTCCCATCTTTGCCTTTCCTCCCTTTTCACCACATAATTTGGGTGTGTGCAGATCACTGGCTGTAACACAAAGCATCTTGACTAAGCAACTGATCCAGTTATGAGCTTGTGGCTGTTGAAAACAGCCATGTACCTGAAGCTATTAGTACCTACAAATAAGAGAGAGAAGCAGAAGACTGACTTTTGAAAACCTAAATTACACATTGTGCTTACATCCATATCATCATCATATGCATCACATACCTGAAATTTACTTAAGGCAGAGGGAAGGGCAAGGGAATGGAGCTGTATGCTGTCATTAATTCACCTCCTATGTCATGTGCTCTGGGTCACTAGTGGGAAAGATGTCATGCTAGTGCATGTCCTGTCCTCCCACAGTACCATCCTCTCTGTAGGGTAACTTGTCAGGTCTGCAGCAAGAAGGGCCTGCTTAGTGCTTAGGTGGGAAACTGCCAAGGAAAGGTCAGCGAGACAGTTATGATGTTACTTATTCAGTATGCATGAGCATGCTTTGGGCCAAGAGCCGCACAGAAGTGATTCCCAGAAACTAGGAATTATGAGCACGGCTACTTAGTGATGCCTCCACTGGGAGAGATGCTGTAATGAGGAGGATCAGGATCTGACAGCTTTAGAGATAACCAGTTTCTTCTGGCCATGTTTTATATAATCTAGGCATTAAAAATCCGAGACTACTCCAAAACTGTGTAACAGTAATCTGCCACCCTAAATCTGCCTTTACAAGATTGGACACAATGGCCTTTATTTCACCTTTTCAAAAAATCCCAAAGCTAGGAGATAAGCAGAAAGAAAGAGTAAAAAAACCTGCAAAAGGACACAATACAGTTAACCTATTTCAGAGAAGACAGAGCCTTCTTTTCCCAGCAATGTGGAAGCACGAAGGCAACCGATTGAATTTCTCGGGTCCCTCATCATCATTTCTCTCTGCAGTGTATACACACCCCCTCCATCTTCATGTTATATTAGCACCATAACAGGAATCTCCGCCAGGGCTGGACTTCTTGTGCTGGTACAAAATGAGGTGTTGAAAAGGGTATGATGATGGTAGGGGCTGTAAGGGCACTTTTGAATTAGAAGAAGGTGTATGTGGGGCAGGGGGGCATGGAAGGACTCCACACGTCTTCAGGGTGAGCGAGTGGAGCTCCTTTTGTTCAAGAAGCTCACTGACCATCCACGATGTCGGCTGAACACAGGCAGAGTAAGAAATGCCTTGAGGGTGGGCCAGATGAGGAGGTCAGACAGAAATAGCAGCAGCATCCAGCCTCCAGCAGGCATGGAAGGGAGGCTGCTCACTCTGCCTGGCATGATTAACAGCAAGGGTTTTACTGGATTAAAACCGCCGGGCCTCGCATCCCCTCTGCTGCGGCTCGGTAGCTGGGACAGGGCGGGGGAGGAGGAGGAGGTTGGGTTGAGCATGAAGGTTAGTGTAACCACGCTGTTCGAAAGAGGGATGTGCAACAACCATCCCCTGACTGAGGTCCCTGGCTGCTGACAAGACCAGAGCACGCATCCCAGCTGGTGCCTGTCCCATTCAGCTCCGTGTCATGGTTTCGTTGGGAGGGAAGTGATCTCTGCCAGGCTAGGCTTTAATCAGGCTCTCCTCGGGGGGAGGAGGGTAATCTCTCCTGGGAAAGCTAGCAAAGGGGGGGACGACACCAGCATGGCCAAGCACGTGCTTTACAAAGTGACCTGCCATCGGTTACCTTGGGTCATATCTCAAATTAAAAAGAACAGGGCTCTTAACCTCTCAATTATTTTTTAATGTGCTTTTGACACATTGACAAGCAGATGTTAATAGGGTAAAAGTAATCATGAACAATCATGAGCAGTCTGCTAATACCATTCACATGTCTCAGCCCTGGGAACTAGACAGAGATGGGAAGACCAAAAAAAAAACAAAACCAAAAACAAACAAAAACCAACAAACAGACTTTCTGCAAAGTTTCGCTTGGCTGCAAGGAATACACCAGGTTTGAGCTCAGATCCCCTTTGAGCTTTCTTCCTACAAACAATCCAGCAAGTCATTTTGTATCTGCATTCCTGCCACTAAAATCTCCTGCTATAAAATAATATTCACTGCAAGAGTTCCTAAAGGTGGGCATCAGAGTAGTAGCTGTGATTTCAGTACTGTTACCAGACAGCATCGCTGAAAGTACTCAGCAAATGTCAACACAGATGCTTGTAGCCGACCAAGATTAACCTGCGCAACCTGAGTTTAGGGTTCAGGTTGTCAAATCATTATAATTTACAGAACATGAATCAGCCATGGGCTTGAGAGAACTGGCTGAAAGGATCTGATGTTGAAAAGGGGCCAAGAAGTTATCTCAGATCTAACAGAAAATCTTTTCATATTCATCTAATACTTAGTATTCCTTTAAAACAGCAGGAGCAATTCATTAAGATTCTCTTCCTGCAGGGATGGGGGTGGTGATTTAAAAAGTGGAAGATCCAGGATTCGGTACCCTAAGTTTTATCTATGAACAGAGATATGTCACCAAATATATTTTCTTGTTCCCACCTCCATGAAATTTAGCCCATTGAAGTACACAGCGTTGCATTACTCACTGCTAGTGAAACTATATTAAGAGTGTGAAAGACATTTCTTTCATCTTCACCCAGGAAAGTGTCTCGACTGAACTTCTTTAATTTGTTTGTTCTTTGCCATGTAGTTATTTGTAGTGCTTTCTAGTAATTACATAGCCGGAGCCAAGCCCTACTGTCCCTTCCCAGCTCTATCCACCAGAGAAAGCAGTCGGCACCTCAGCTACAGGAGGAAGCAGGAGGTAATACTCAAACACTCAGAAGCCCGGAGCCACCATGGCATCCCCCTGGCATGGCTGCTGGTGGTGGCCCCGGGCCTTTGGTCTCTGCCTGGCCAACTGCAGGAGCAGGACTGGCAAACAGAACTAATAAGCTGCAGGTTCAAACTTTCTGTTCCTTGGCTCTGGGAGATGCCACTGCCCTCCCCCTGCTCAGCCTGTCACATTGCCTCTCTACTCCAGCCGTATTGCCCTCAGCTGTCCTAGTCCCTGGCCACCATTTTAATACAGATCTATCATCTCTGAGCCAGGTTAAAGTGCATAAGCTTATCTTAACCTCTGCTGCATAATGGTCAAGAGAATACAAGGAATGCTTCAGCCATCAAACCAAAGCTACTCTTCAGCTTTTGCTATCGCTGTGAGGTTTAATTTGATGATATCCTGACTGCTTGGGACAGAGATTTGCCTGGGGACTTCCTCAAAGCTCTCTGATCCAGGGTGAGAACCTGCCTTTGCGGACTCGAGATATGTATTGGTTTACCAGGTCTCTAGGAACAATAAAGCTTAGGTAAGAAATTGTTTGGGTTTGTAACATGATATTAGGGTTCTGGGGGAAAACAAACAAAAAAAACCCAAAGAAAACCAACCAAATGGAAATCCACTAAAGAATGTTTATGCTCATTGTTGAAGAGAAGGCTTACTTGTAAACATCCAGTAACTGAAAAATTATGGCTCTCAAAGCAACAATAAGCTAGTTATGTCAAGCCTATCATTGACAAGGGAGACATGAAGTAAAATATGAAAGGTGCTGTCATCTCTCAGTTTGTATTTCCTCAAAGGCAAAATGCCCATTCATTTAAGCACCAAGGAAAGAATCGTCTGGGTCTTTACACTGCTCCCCACCCTTCTGGTGGTCTGCGCATACTCATGCTCACAGAGAAATATTTCATGTGAAAAAGAGGCAAAGACCCCAAAAGGGAAAGGTGCCTGGGGAACACATGTGTTTGGATTTCCAGACTTTGGTGCATTTGGGCTCCCCTGGCCTGACTTGCCCGCAATCTGCACCAGTGTGGTGATCTACATAAAGCTATTTGGGGTCTGCCAAGGAGCATTCTCATGGGACATGAGAATGTTGCCTGTTATTAATCTGTATCCTAATAGTACTATATTAGTAAAAGATCTGTCTGCATCCTCCTGAAGCTGTCCTGCAGCACTATAAGCGTCAGGGATGCAGAGGGAGCCCTCCAGGATGGTCCCTGCTTTAGGATGCTGATTTGTGAGAAGGTGTCTGACCCAGTGCTTGCTAAAGAAATGAAGGCTGAGAGGACTAAAGAAGTGGGATGCTGGCTGGTCCTCACCTATTTCCCTGGTCCCAGGGAAATAAGAGGACATCCCTGGGACTACTTCCCCAGTCCCAGGGAAATGAGGGGAAATGAAAGTGCTTAAAAAGCTGAGACCTGAGGGTTGAAAGGTAGACCTGAGCTGTTTAAACTGCTTAAGTAAAGTTAGGGCAGGGTAGGATAGGACATGCATTTAGGAGATGACCTTTTTCTGGAGTGTTAACAGAGCAAGGCTAGGATCAAGTACCCTCTGCTGGAAGTGGTGACAGTGAGTCCCAGGTAACACTGTCTCACTTAGGGATTTCCAGAGACTGTGCAAAACACACTTGGTCTGTGCTGCATCCAGGGCCCAATAGATGCAAGCACAAACCAGACACCTTCTCCTCTCCAAGCACAAAACCATGTGGATGTGGACTGGGGCAGGCAAATGCTATTATTTTATAAGGCTGTCAGACCACCAGGGAAATATAAACCTGACTTGACATGAAAGCTAGATTGGGTTTGGTTATGCTCAGGCTTCTTTTTAATCAGAAATTTGCTTTCTTCACTTCCAATGAGTTACACCAAAAGCTGACAGTTATACATTTTTGTTCAAGACCTGGTTGCCATGACTATCATTTTTAGTGATACTATACTAGCATCTACAGGTCTCATATAACCCCGGCCCCAAAGAGAACAAGATCCTGGGAGACAACACACATAGTGCGGGCAGAGGGAGGTTAAATGATCTGGTGCAACATCTCCAGGGGGCCAACACAGCACCAGCTGTCTTGACACTCACCTCAGTGCCACATCTACCATCCTTGGTCTTCATTGTTAACTTTCACAACACTGGTATTTTCAAGCTAACCCCTGGTCTCCTTAGTCCCACTGACTTTTGGACCTTAAGGAACATGAACTCCCTTAATCTGTTAGTAGAAATAGCCACAGGAGCAGTGGCAGTTGGTGTGTTGAAGCACACCTATACAGCATCAGACACAGATGCCTGACTATCAGATAACCCCAATCTGTATCTCCTAGCCACTAGAGCTCCAGCACCCACCAGAGATGCCTTAGCATGTCACTTTGCCTCTGGCAATTATCACTTGGGGACCCCATGGAAGAATAGGCAATGCAGAGGCATCATCAAAACTGCTGAAAGCTAAACTTTTGCCTGCATCTATATCCCACCACAGCTGCTTCATAATTAGCGCACAAAGTACCTATATTGGTGAGGGCAGTTTTTTATTGCACGATGGCACATTGCACCTAAGAAGATCTGATGATCCGTATAGACCTTTGTGATGGATGTTGAAGGCCCTTCTTGGCCAAGCCTAACAAAAGTGATGTTGCAGGAGATGCCTCTTTACTCCAGAAAGCAGCACTGTGGGGGCAGGGAAATAGAGGGCTCAGCAGCAACGCAAGGCAAATGATACCCAGATCCTTTTTTTGCACTGGAATATGAGTGTTATTACGAATACAAAGACAGAAATCAGACACCGTGGAAGGCCTAAGAGGTATTGCATGGCTTGTGTTGAAGAGAAGAATCAGAGGAAGAGTAATGAAAAGGAACCAGACTGGCCACATGAGGTGGAGAGGGGACTGCATCCCTTCAGATGCACTCAGCAGCCACCAGCCCCCCTGAGCAGCGCCGGGGGGGGTGCTGATTCACACAGCCTTGCTGCCACAGTGCAGAGCTCACCAAGCCTGGAAGAGGAGCAGCCATTCACCCCTGACTTCAGGAATCAAATTAAAACAGTTCAACTTCTCTACAGCTGCAAATAGGGCCATTTATTTAAAGCCCCTGAAGCTACGCCCTTTAATGCTTGGTAGAGAGCTGAGTGAAACAGTGCCTGTTGTTTGGTGACCAAGGCAAGCAGAGCTTTGTACCTCTGGAATATCAAGGCTTCCAGGGCACCTGCCTCAGAGACCTTGTCCAAAGCAGAGTTTTAAAGGCACAATTCAAAGAATTGATGAGTGACTGGAGGAAGACAGATGAGGAAGCAGAAAGAAACAGAAGTGCCAGCTGGAGAGCTGCAGGAAGGGACGATGAGGTGACAACGAGCTGGTGAGTGATGAGCAGGAGGAGAGGGACTGATATGCACTTAGGAAGGGAGGAGCAAAGGGTCCATATGGAAGGGCATGCAATAATCGTCAGAGGGGAAACAGGAGTATTTTTTAAAAATGGGACAATTTAGGTGGCCTTAGCCATGGCTAATGAAAGCAGGAAAGGCATTAGTTGAATCCCTCTCTCTTCAGTTCACAGAGAACAGCCACAGGGCATCACTCTGTGCTTATGGATATGGACCTGCATGGTTTTGAAAGTTAGCCAGAGGGCCCGTGTGTTTTGCCTTTTTCTACCCTGGGGGGAAACCTTGGAGGGCTACATGAAGAGACGAGAAGCCAAGGCAAACCTCTCAGCTTTTGCATACCTTCTGCAACAGGAGAGAGCCTGAATACTTAGTCACAATGGAGTACAGCTCCCCACCGAAGGCATCTGCCCAAGACTTCACCCTAAAAAGAGAAAAAAAGGAAAATAAATATTAATAATTCAAAGTCAGCAGAAGTGCTTACTTTTTCAGACAGGGAAAACTCCATCTTCCTGAGTATGAATGCCCTCATATTTCTCTAAGCCACTATAGTGACAACGCTTTCTCCCCAGATTGCTAGCCAGACAAGCAGTAAAGCAGGAGGCAAGTGCTGCACTTGGACATTCTGCCCAGGACATTGGTCAGCAAGGAGAAACACAGAGTTCAGCTGGTCTCACTCACTACATTTTGCCTGAGTGGAATTAATCTTGCCTAACTTTAGAGGTACAGAACTTGTACATTTGGCCTTAGATATCATCTGGTTTCCTCTATTCTTAGCAAAGTGAAATAAATAGTTGTCTGCAGACACATATTTATCTTCACTGATTGCAGATGGAGCCTGGGGTGAAGGGCTAAATGCTGAATGTCAAGACTGATGAAGAGAAATAAGTGTCAGACCTGAAAGAAGTTGTCAAGATTTACCCCTTGGATTCGGTTCCTAGAACTGTGTGGGGCAGAGACTAACAAGCCTGATGAATTCACTGCTCTCAGTGGAGATACTACAGCTTGATAATGCCAGAGTAGATTATGCACCTCATCACTGTAATACACTACTTGCATTTGTACCATCCTCTAAATAATTGATGATAGCAATACCACATGGAGAACATAAGGATGTTGAAGAGCAGCCTTGAACACCGAGCCATCCAAATCAAAATAGATAGCTTTCATAATTGACAGAGCACTTCATCAGAAATCTGTTACATGATTCACATTAAGCAGTTCCACCTACATGCAGTTCCTTCAACAAGGATGCACTTAGGAGAAATTCGTTTAATGGAATAGATGGCCTTCTCCACTAACCAGAATACTCTATTTATTTATGGGTTGCAGAGTCTTACCTATGGTTTCCAGTAGATTTCTTCTAGCCCTAAGCAGACTTTAACCTTGAGGCCTGATTTCCCAGTGCATTGCAGCACTTTCATGGCACAACAATACACCACCCTGGATGTGAGCTCTGGAGTAAAGCCAGCACAGCAATGGTGAAATAATCACAACAGCTAATTTTAGCCTAGGAAAACCTGTTTAGGCTCCCCTCTTGCAAATAGAGACAGATAGACAGCTATAGGGGAATGGTTGGGAGCATACATTCTGCTCTGAACCACACCTCTCTTCACTGCCTATTTTTTAATCACTCATTAAGTGGCCATGAGGCATTCATTTCTAACCACTGAGTATGATCTAGCACCAGCTGAAGTCAATAAGAACAAGGCTTCTTCCCCCAGTTAAGGGGCACAGAAGAAGCTCTGTGTGACAGGGCTGAAGAGTGAGTAATTAAAAATATACGGTGGCATTTCATGGCAATTCAGAAGGAGACAAATGAAGAGGCAGAAATATGCTGGTATTTACGTATTTAAAAGACAATTATTTGGCAGGGAAGGGAGAAACCTTAGAGCACTGGTAAATTAAGGGCAACCTGCTGAATTTAAATAGGTTTCCTTATTTTTTTCATAAACAAGTGAGAGAAAAGGTCAGTCTAAAATTCATCAGATTGCAGAGAAATTTTTTCTAAGGCTGCTGGCTCCATGAACTCATGAGCAGATGTATAGAGGTGGTAGGGGCAGCCTAAAGAGGCCATACCAGGTTGATTTTCACCTCTCCCACCAGCATTTCCCAATGTTTCTGGTATCCCAAGAAGCAAAGGCTGAGCAGCCAGCCTCAAGTCCTCACCATCCTCAGAACTGCAAACACTCCTGCCCATGCCACGACCAGCTGATGAGCAAAGCAGTGGCCAGGAGGAAAGAGGAGGTAGTTTTTGCACTAAACTTGCACCCCAGAAGCATTCGTAGCTACTGATCGAGCGGACTGTTGCACCACTGGAGTTAAAGCTGAGTGAGCTTTGCAAAGATGCGAATAAGTTGGCAACAAACCGAGCGCAGTGCAGCAAAACCAGGCACGACTTGGGGATCAGCACAGGCTGACTTAGCCTTGTGTCACTTAACTGTGATTGAACCCAGCTGGTGCTTAAAAGACTCTGGTTTTGTGTCCCCAAAATGTCCCTGTGTAATCTATGGAGCAGGTCTGTTTTCTGCTGATTTTCTTCCTTTGGTCCTCTGCCCAATGTGTTCTGCAGAAACTTCATTCCAAAAGGGCAATTTTTGTGTTTTAGTTAAGTTAATGAGTGGATTTGAAACACCAGGGATTAATTTAGCTGTTGGTCTGGTTTCAGTACCAGGGGAGGAAAGCTCTTTTTCTATTGTTTAGTCTTCATTATTGTACATGAATAAATTCCAAATTGTGCAAAGTGACGTAACTCTTTTCTCAGTAGTAAAGGGCTATCACATTATAACCAAACACATCAGAAAAGGATTTGGTCAGAGATTGTCTGCCTGTAATCCCTGCACTTGTATTCAGTGATGAAAACAGCAGAAAGGATGGGCTGGCTTCTTAATGCCACAGATTTCAAGGCCAAAAGGTATCTCCATGCAGTATTTACCCTGGGCGCAGAAAGTTGATTTTTATTTTGCATGGTTTGAAAGGATCAGAAGTTGGACTCTATTCTGTGTAACCTCTGCATCCTTTTAGTGAAACCCAAATCAGAGGCTCTTTGCTTAGGAAGGGCTTGATAGTGCAGCCAAGAATAAAACTAGTGGCAAAGATTCCTGAGACCGCCCCAGATAAAGTCATTGCAACTCTTGGTAACTTGCGTGGGCTGTATTGGCAAGCACATCTGCAAGGGTCTTACTGGCAATTTTTGAATAGAAAACATTTTCTCGATCTCAGGAAAGGTCTTAATCTGACTTTGATCAGTTTATCGGACATATCTCCTCCTGAAACTGGATGGCAGTGTTGTCCCCTCTCCAGACCCACCCGCTTCCCTGTGCAGACAGACCTATCCCAACTCCAGAGAAGCTGCCCCACAACAACTTTTAGCAACCGCGGTGCTGACGTTTTTAATCCTTAAAGGATTTAACTTGCTTAAATCATTTTACCAAGGTGAAGTTTTTATAAACTGGTTGTGCTGAGAGCTGTTATCCTCCTGGCAGGCTGCCGGGGTGGGCTGCACTGCCAGTGGGGAGCTTTCCAGCCATGACCGTGCTGGAGGAGCCGCTCGTGCACACCAACATGCACGTGGGCGTGGGTGCCCTGCATACCCACACCCAAAAAGGTACATCAAGGTTCCCTGCGCGTGCACTAGCACCTAGACCCAAAAGCACAAAACGTGACTGTTTATGCTTTGTATTGCAGCTCAGCTTTTCATTCCTATGCTCCAGAGCTCTGGGAAGGGCTGTTACACCCTTTGTAGTAAGGTTGAGCAGGAACAAGAAAGAAAAGGTGTCGTGGTCTCTTTCCTCTACTTAGCCTCCCCTCACTAACAACCCCTGACATCCACACACATGAATAAATGTGTGTGTGTCTTACCCAGGCTGCATATGTGTGCACAAAGGCTTTTTTCAGCCATCCGTGTACCAGACCAACACAAGGGATCAGAGTTCCAGAGCTCCTAACCTTGCACTGCACTATCTGGATCTCGTGTGTGTTGAAGAGATGTGTTTTTGCTCAAACCCCCCATGCGTATGCCTCCCACTGCCAGATCCTGACCAGTGCTATGCATCCCCAGAGTGTCCCCAGTATGCTGCAAATCAGCAGCGTCTGCTGGAACTGCTCTGCCAAACTGAGGTGCTGATAAACTGGGGCTGCTTCCATCTGCCTCCATGGCTGAATCTCCACCAGTTGCACCAGCAGTGGGCTTTTACGAACATGTCTTTAAACTGGTTTTGCCTTCTGGTGCCCAGTGCATCAAGCAGAGCGTTAATAGATGTCAAAGTGCTTAACTAAAGGAGATGAGTGTCATTGCTCTGCTTGATGAACGGGGAAAATGAGGCATTGCATCTGCGTTAGACCTGGGAACTGAATTTGTGGCTCCTGTGCCCACGTCCTCTCTCAGGAGCCATTGCCACCACTGTAAGGAAATGCCACCCTGCCCCTGCAGCGATGTGCCCCTCTGGACGAGCCTGCACCTGCAGTGCCTGCTACTGCCGGGGAGACACTCCCACCTGCCTGCCCATGCCCACAGCATTGCCCACTCCACGCCAGAAATGCCCCACGCCAGAGAGAGGGAAACACTTACGTCTCCAGTGGGATCTTCGTCTGGGCCCTGGCAGAGGACAGGGAGGCAGAAGAGCCAGAGCATCATCCACGGGACAGCCCAGGGCCTCATCCTCCACGTGCCAACCATCAACAAGGGGACCGGCCAGCGGGATGTGGGGGTTCCCTGCTCTTCCTGCTGCCCCGGGGGGGGTCCCACGTGGCCCCCGCCATGCTGCTGGGCTGGGTGCCCTGCTGCTGTGGGGCCAAGTCCCAGGGTGGCCCCGGCTGCCTCTGCCCTGGGAACGTCGCTCCTGCTGCTGCGCGTCGTCGGGGGTCTCCGGTGCAGGGTGGGTGGCCAAAAACCTGCTGGGGACCCTCTCCAGCGGGCACCCACGGGTGTGGTGCACCTCCGCACGCTGAGGACGGGCCGTGCCGGGAGAGAGCTCCACACTGGAAACAGCAGCAGCTACGTAATCCCCCACCAGCCCCTTAATCCCCTTGCCAAGCAGCAGCAGCCGCAGATTTAGGGAAGTGGAGTGGGATAAAATCACCCGGGATTACTCTGATTCCTGAAGACAGGTCTTGGCTTCTCCAGCTGGAGGTCAAGCCCTGCCTGCTTTAAAGGGGTCACATCCACACCCCCTAACCTCCCCAACCTTTGATCTCTGTCTGGCAGGGCCTCCCTGCCGTGATTCATGATGCTGGCGGGGTCACTCCAGCAGGTCGCCCCAGCACCGTCTCCTCCCCACTGGGGACCTGAGGTTGGGACCAGGAGTGTGGGGTGTGTGGTGGGCTCCTGCAGGACCCAGAGGGTTTGTGCCGTGCCGCTGCTTGGTGCTGAGGTTTGCACAGGACCGACGAGGCTGGGCAGAGCCAGCACCTTGGCAGCACCCAGCGTGGGTCCTGCCAAAGCTCTTGTCCTCCGGGCCATGTCTGGGGACCTCACACAGGCGAGAGGAGAGGAGGGAAAATGGGCAGCAGGAAGCAAAAGCAGCATGAAAATAAGGACTCTGCCAGTTATAACTGATCACCTCCTAATGTGAGCCATTATTTATTAATAGCTGAACCTCTCCGTTCGGACAACATTCAGTTGAGATTGCCATCTCCTCATCTGTGTCTGGAGACCAATGAATTAAAGGACCCCAATGGCTGAATTTGATGAATAGCAGCAAGTAGCAAACTGCACACTTGGATGAGGGGCATGCTATATAAGCTCATTACTGTCACAAGAAGTATGAATTATAATTAATTACAGATACGGCAGTGGAAGGATTATAAATGACTAGTGTGACCTGTTGAACAGCTTGACTCTATTGCTATGAATTAACCTGTTTATTAGAGTATCTTCCAATCATCTTTTTCACCTTTACAAATGGCTTATTTAATATAAAATGCAAAGCCACAGTAGATCATTAAGTTTCTTGTAGGGATGTGGAGGGGGAAGCTGGCTGTCAAAGCACTGAAGTAAAACTAAAGCGTGTGTTATAGATGTGCTACCGAGTGCTGCATCAGTGCTGCACATTAAATGAGATAATAGAAGTGGCAGAGGAAATACAGAGAAGGGAATAAAATCATGAAACATGGAATAGAGTTTAAATTATATGATGAAGAGGCTGAAAGCCTGGGGTGAGCAATTAGGTAATTACAGGAATAACTCACCTCAGGATAGGATGGTTTTGTCATTTATTACAATCTTTACTCCAGACTGAGTATTTTTTTGAAAGTTATGATCTTATTCAAGCAGATGCTATAGGCCTGAAGGGCAGAAATTTCCAGATGACGTTCTTAAGTCTGTGCAAAGGGTTACACAGGAAGGTTGAAATGGTTCTTTCTGACCTTAAAATCTACAGAAAGTCAATTTCTATACACACAAACACTCCAGAGACAGTGCCTTCAGGGTACCACATGGCTGTAGAGCAAAAGCCATAGTTGGAATATGAAGGCAACAGGCAGAGCAGATCTGGATCTTAGTAACGCATTTCTCAAACGGCCAAAATGCGCTATGGGGGTTGTTGCCCCGGAAAGGGGTATATACAGACCCTGAGAGCCCCAGGGGGGATTCTGGAGGTGAGGGCAGTACAGTGAAATGTCTTCATCCCAGAAATGCTCATTGCAGACAAGGGGTGCGGTGTGTTACCCCTGGGAACAGAAGGAGCTGATTGCCCTTCCCCTGACCTTGGCCTCACGCTGCTGGGACTGGGGACCGTGGGGCTGGGCTTCTGCTGCCCTCTCCTTCCTCTGCAGCTTGAAAAGAGGAGAACATTGCTCTTAGAGGAGGCAGGAAGACTGACCATCAAGGTCTCATTTCTCCATATTTACCAGGATTAAAAATGAGGGGTAGCGTCCAGGGTGGCAGGCTTCCCTGTCTGGATATTTCAGGGAAGAAATAAAAATTCATGTTCTGAAAAAAATCTGAAATGAGATCTGAATGCAGGAGAATCAACATAGCATTTTCTCTCTACTTTTCAAGGAGCCATATCAAATAGCTATTGTGAGTGATTTTACCAGGATCTTTTCGCTAACCTTTCCAGCCACTTTGTGCTATTTGCAGCTGGGACCCAGTTTAATCCAAATGGGTTCTGGCAAGAGCCATTGTCTGGGTGTGTTTAGAAAAACCTGAAACACAGATAGAAAAGGCAATGAGACACAGCAACATGCTGAAATGGGAGATCCAAATCCCTTTATTTGGATGTATCTCATTTACTGGATATATTTCACTTAACCCCTTAATGATCTAAAATTGCAAGGGAGCGAGATTTGAAGATGAAATGAAAATAGCATGGGCAACTGAAAAACCCCAGGTGACTAGAGGGCCCTTAATGGGATTAGTGTGCATCTAGTTACTGCTGCAGAGCTCAGCCACCAGTGTGTGAGCACAGCTGGAGCATGGGGAGGAGATAAACCGTGGCAGGGTCTGACTGGGGAAAAAGAAAAAGAATCCTATGAGAAAGAATGAAAGCAAACACATAACAAGGAGTGAGAATTTAAGGCTGCAAAAGATATGGGGTGAGCCAGTACAGCAAATTAGAGCTAAATTTGCAAAAACATGGGGCAATAAAAAAATGCCAGTGCGATTTTGTGTTGTATTCATAGGTAGGGGGAAGATTACCAGCTGTATTAATTTCTGGTTTGACTAGAACCTGAGTTCAGTTTGGATCATCTCATTATGGGAAGATACTGGAAAATGCCAAGACCAGCCAGAGAAAAAATACCATCAAAAGACTGGTATAAGTAGTGTACGAGGAGAGTTTACTAAAGACAGTAAAAATCCTCATTTGTTTAATGCATTCATGTGGTGCCCCTGACCTGGAAATGCCTGAGCAGACTAACTTGTAGTCTTACAGCAGGATAAATATAAGGAGAATGGGGCAAAATGAAGAAAGGGGAGCTCTACACTGAGCATCAGACAAAGCTGATTAGAAAGATGTGCCAGGCATGGCACAACCTCTTGAGGCAACCTCTCTCCATGCAGTACTGGTCAATAAGGCACATTTTGTAGCAGCCAAGTGTCTGTCTGTTAGAAAGCCAGCTGGAACAGGGGATATGGCAACAACCTTGAACACAGCAAAGAGAAGACTATGCAGCTTTGTGGAGATGAAGAGCAGATGGGAGAGTGTCTCAGCCTCCTGAGGCATCAAGCTCATTGTGATACTACTCCCGTTACCAGGAGGTTTATCGGGCTGAAACTGGTCACTAGAGACACTTCTTACCCATGGCACCGGTATCGGTCTCTCAGTTGACCCATGCAGTGAGGCAGGGGTGCTCCCTCCTGTTTTCTGGGTACTCTGGAGCAGTGTCTCACAGCCCACATGGAGCAAGCATCAGCGTCCTTTCTGCACTGTAGATATCAGGACTGGGGAAGAGGTTGCCAGAGATCAGCACTGACTTGTTTTTTGTTCTGGAGACACTGGGGTCTTGCTGTGTGCCTGCCACCACCGCATACCTCAGCGCAGGTCCTTGCTCCATCGTGATCCTGAACATAAAACATCTGTGCCATAATCACTTGATAAGAATAATTTGCTTTGATTTTGAATAACTTAAAACAAGGCATGATGGGAATAAACTATGCTGTCTTGTTCAACAGCAGATGCATTTATTTGAGATCATAATCTTGTGCCTCTCATTATCTCTTGGCAGGGCTCCTTAGAGAAGTAGCGGGGTACAAAAGCTCCTTTCTATCCTGGTCAAACATTCCGTTTGTGAAACTGCTCTCTCAATGGTGTTTGAGCTTGTGTCCTGTTCAGGAGATAGGAGGATGATGTCTCTGGCCGGTCTGAGTAACATTAACCGTTCCTCAAGGTGGTTTGGAAAGCAGTTGTGCAGTGTTTTGCCAATACTTAGAGAATCCGATCTCCCTGTCCCAGCAGCTGCCAGGAGGAGGGGGCCCTTGCCAGAAGTAGAGATGGAAAAGCACTTTTAGTCATGGTTTTACTGGCTGGTCATGCAGATCTCTTCTGATCGAGTTTCAGCGCGGTGGAGAGTCAGCGCTCGCAAGCTGAGTTTGCAGAGGTGTGGATTTAATAGCTGAGCGGGGACGGGGAGGAGGGCTGCAGGTCTGCTTCTGCCTGGGTGCTGGATGCTGCAGGCAGGCGCTGGGCCGGGGGCTGGGGAGGTGTCCCCACAGCCGAGCACTGCCCTCCCTCCCATTTTGGTCGCACCAGGGCCTGCTCAATCGCAGCGGAGCTCCGGGAAGCTGCAACACAACAGGGAGATGATGTTTGGGTAGGCCTGGGCTGGCCAGGTGGCCGGCAGTGTGCCTGGGTCCTGGGAAGTTTGGGTTGGTGAGACCTGAAAGATCTGCAGCTCTGGGTGGTCTGGGTGAGCCCAGCCTGCTGAGTGCCCCTTTCTCACTGCAGCCATTGTGGGAGAATGAGACCTCCCTCACTCCCAGGTGTGTTTTGTGTTAAATTAGCTGCTTTTAACACCATCTGGGTGCAGGGGAAATGTTTAGTGCAGCCTGAAGCTGTGGATGGAAGTGTTTTTCTGCTACCGAGGACCATGCTGATGAGTGCCAGTGGTCACAAGGAGACCCTGGTATGACTCTATAGAGGAGGCACACAAAAGTCTGCTCACCATGGGCATGCACCTAATATCTGGATACCTGATACCTCACTTAGGATCTCTCTAGGGTAGGACAGATTCACCCCTCGTGTAACACAAGAGGTATATACAGTGGAATATACAGGTACACCAACTGATATGTAGGCAGGTATTATACCACAGACTTTCTTAATTTCAGGTTGAAATTCTTCACCCTAGTGAATAGTGGGTGAGCATCTGGCCTCCAGAGCATCATCAGATGTCAGCAGGATGATTTGGACCAAACGTGTCCTCCTAGATTCCACACTCCACCTGGGTGCTCTGTAAATATCTGCCTGCAGACCCATTCATCTGCAAGCTGCATGCTCTCCCCGCTGTTTATAGAAGCAGCCAATAGGTGTCATATTAATTAATGCCTTCAGCTGGTTACTTTG